GGCTGAGCTGCGGGTCAAGTGTGACTCCAAGGTATGTGGGATGCTCTTCTTTCATCACTTGGTGTTTGTCTAACCTCACTCAGGTTAATATTCTTCCTTGCTACTTGGTGGCTTTTGGTAAAAATTGTGTAGACCGTCTTTGCACAGTTAATCTTGAGTTTCCATCTTTGGCAGTAATCATGCAGTCTTCTAAGGTCTCCATTCAGTCTTTGGGCTCCACTTTCCACATTTTCATGACTCTGCCATATTGCTAGGTCATCAGCGTACAAGGCTTTTTCGGCCTTGATTTGTTCTGGCAGGTCATTGATAAAGATTAGGAATAGTGTACAGCTCAATGATGAGCCTTGTGGCAAGCCCTCCTCCAAGACTTCTTTAGAAGAGATTGCGTTGTGCATCTTAGTCTGGATTGTTCTATCTATCAGGAAGTATTTCACCCAGTTATACAATCTGCCATGTATTCCTATGCTCATCATCTTCATCAGGAGACCTTTTCTCCATACTCTGTCATAGGCCTGCTGGAGGTCGACAAAGACTGCCACTGTGTGTTTCTTATTCTGGAAGCCATCATGTATTCTTTGTGTCAGTCTGAATAGCTGGTCTTCTGTGCAGCTGTTGGTTCTGAAGCCTGCCTGTTCATGGCATAGAACACCAGAACTCTCAAGGAACCAAAATAAGCGCCTGTTTATCATTCTTTCTGCAACTTTGCCCAAGCATGATGTTAAGGATATCGGGCGGTAGCTTTTGGGGTCATCTGGAGGCTTTTTGGTTTTAAGGATGGGGACGATATATGCATTCCTCCATGCCCTTGGAAGTTTGCTTGACCTCCAAGTTTTATTAATAAGCCTGAGAACTACTTCTCTCCCAGACCGGCCAAGATGTAGCAGCATTTCGTTGTGGATCTTATCTGGGCCTGGAGATTTTCTAGGTTTTAATTTCTTCAGGGCTTGCTCTAGTTCATCCATGCTAAATTCATTTTCAAAAAGGGAGTCGCTGGCTGTTGGAGCTCTCTCTTGTTTCTTCAACTGAGAGAGCTGTGTTCTATTGAGTTCTGACAGCTTACCTGCTCTGTTAACTGAGGCAAAATAATGGATTGAAATGTTCTGCTTTCTTCTTGTCTTCAGTGATTGTCTTACTCCCATCTGTCACTGGTTTTGGGTTCACCCTTCTACTTTCTCCGGAGAGGTTTTTAACTAAAGTCCATGCTTTATTTCCATTCTGTCTAAGGTCTAAGTTGGAGCAAGTTTCTGTCCATTTATCTCTTTTAGCCTTATTAACTACAAGCTTTACTCTGGCACATGCTTTATTGTATTGGATCTTTGCTTCTGTTGAACGTGCAGTTTCGAGAAATATTCTTGCTTTATTCCTTTCAGATATAGTATTTTGAATTTCTTGATTCCAAAAAGGTTTATATGCCTTCCGGCTGCCCCTTGGGATGGCTTTCGACGCTGCATTCAGGATTGCTTGTGTTATGTCTTCACAAAAAGTTTCCACACAGCTGTTGTCAATTCTTCCCAGGAGGCAGTCAGATGTTTCCTGAAATAGTTTCCAGTTTGCTTTTCGGAAATTCCAACGGGTTCTCTGCTCGAAGCGTAATTTAGGGGTGGTGCTTACAGTTGTGAGTATAGGTTTGTGGTCACTTCCTATGTCGTCCAGGACTTGGGGATAGCTTGCGTCTGCTAAGTCGGATGAGCAGATGGTCAGGTCTGGTCTGCTGAGAGATAGGTGGGCCCTGTGTAACAGTGTAGGTGTAGACTCTGTGTCCTGCAGCACTAATAGGTTAGTTGTTTCACAAGTATCTTTGATGTACTTCCCTGTGCTATTGTAGTCAGGGTAACCCCAACGTGGCGAGTGTCCGTTGAAGTCACCAACAAGAAGGGTTTTATGGTACTGTGTCTTGTATAGTTCTGGTATGTTGCATGTTGTCTGAGGTGGGCTGTACACGTTGTATATCGTATATTTGCTTCCATTGTGCCAGATAGTTATTTTTTTGCACATCTGTAGGGTGAGATGTCGACAGCATTGTTACATCTCCTTGTATGTCATTTCTGATATAGGTCACTATGCCCCGGCAGTCATTGCACTTACAGGCATAACTAGTATATCCAGTGAGATGCAGATCAGAGTCTTTATGCAGGGTTTCGTGTAGGGCAGCCACGTATACCCTGTGGTTGTTTAGCAGTTTGGCAAGTTCAAGTTTCTTATTTCTTATTCCACAGATGTTCAGCTGCAGAATATTGAGCATCTGTGTATTTTTTGCTGTGCTGTCTGAGTTCTTTTTGCTCTCCCTCCCACTCTTCCTCCTCCTGGGGTGTCTGTTTTCCCTATTTATTTCAAATTTTCCAGTAGCCAATTTTTCGCACATGACAGCCTGGTTTCCCACTGTCTGGCGCGGGCCTTGATAGACGAGGCGACGACCGATCTCGTATGTATTCTTAAATTTTGACATATTCATGGCATTGTGGTGCTGGGGTGTCTGTGGATTACCTACCTCCCCGGGCAGCAGCTAGAAATGCCCTGTACCAGTTCTAAAGGAAATATGGGTTGTGTTTCTGCCTTTCCCTTTAACACGTAGCTAAGGTGGGGCTCACAGTGTTCTCATTCCCCGCCACCAGATTGCCTGCAGGTTTCGCTGAGCTCTTCATGTCTCTAAGCATGGCCTAAGCATGAGTAGTTGGGGCAACTGGATCGTCACGTCCTGAGTCCCTGTGCCTTCACGATAGTTTCCGGTATTCAGGGGGGTTAGCATACTTGTTTCCATTCCTAAGACTGTTCAGCACACCTCTGGTTCCTTCCCTCCCACAGGGGGCAGTACGGTGTGGTGCACCGGGTTTATTATCGAGGTTTGCTCCTCTAGATCCATTGTGTTTTGCCTGGGGATTCGCACCCCCAGTTACCGGGACTACCTCGGGGAGGCTGTGACTCTTCGCCACGCACAATGGTCTTGAGGTAAGAGAGGTTTTGCTAGGTCAAGAGGCTGACACCACAATGGACGCTCCTTTCGTGAACAGATATTCACTAGACCTAGGGTGAAGTAAGGGGGGGAACCCACTACCCACAACATCAACACTTCTTACCCCCTGCCTCTCGAGGCTCAGTCCCAATGAGTTCGTTACTTTCAGCAGCAATATCAGAGATACTAGTGGTGATCATAATGAGTTTGTTACTTTCAGCAGCAATATCAGAGATACTAGTGGTGATCATAATGAGTTTGTTACTTTCAGCAGCAATATCAGAGATAGTAGCGGTGATCATAATGAGTTTGTTACTTTCAGCAGCAATATCAGAGATAGTAGCGGTGATCATAATGAGTTTGTTACTTTCAGCAGCAATATCAGAGATAGTAGCGGTGATCATAATGAGTTTGTTACTTTCAGCAGCAATATCAGAGATACTAGTGGTGATCATAATGAGTTTGTTACTTTCAGCAGCAATATCAGAGATACTAGTGGTGATCATAATGAGTTTGTTACTTTCAGCAGCAATATCAGAGATACTAGTGGTGATCATAATGAGTTTGTTACTTTCAGCAGCAATATCAGAGATAGTAGCGGTGATCATAATGAGTTTGTTACTTTCAGCAGCAATATCAGAGATAGTAGTGGTGATCATAATGAGTTTGTTACTTTCAGCAGCAATATCAGAGATAGTAGCGGTGATCATAATGAGTTTGTTACTTTCAGCAGCAATATCAGAGATAGTAGCGGTGATCATAATGAGTTTGTTACTTTCAGCAGCAATATCAGAGATACTAGTGGTTCTGTTATTATTGTCCTGTTCTGTCTCGGACTCCTCTCCACAACCCATGCCAAGTTATCCTATTGTTTAACACCTCTGATATATGGATTCATTATTTGTTATTTTATGCCCTAGTCACTTTACAAGTTGCCTCCTTCCTGGTCATATTTACAACATATTTATCTCCAGAAATTAACTATCCACTGTTTCTCAAATGGTTGTGTTTTTCATATTACTGTTTTATGTCTCACACTGTTGTTGTTTGTACAGAAAATATAAAACAAAAATATTTACTTGCTCACTAAATCAACCAAACTCCTAGCTGAATGGAGAAAACAGAGGAACTCCCTAAAATGGTTGAACTCATTAAAAGACCAAAAATATGTTTTCTCTCCGTGTGGATTCCGGGGCCCTTCTTTGGTAGAACAAGAATAGACCCACTGCCTACCTCTAACGATCATTGTTTTAAAAGTAGGCTAATAAGGGATTTTTTCCTTCAAAGTCTGAGGCAACTGCACAAGAGGTGAAGACCCAAGTCTGCATACAAATAAGTTAAATCTGTAAAATGGATTTGCCCGCAGAACTCAAACTCTGGAACAAGACTAAAAGTCCAGAAGTGGATAGTAAGCAGAACTTTCCACCAGAGCTGGCAGTCAGTGAAGAACCCCCTGCGAGTTTTGGGGCCCAATTGTGGGGAAAACAAGAATAGACCTGCTGCCTTACCAACAAGCATGTCATAAGAGTCGACTAATTAGGGGCTTTCTTCAAAGTTGGAGGGCACCTGCCTAAGAGGCAAGAAACCAACAGTCTACGTATAAATAATATAGGATCTGTAAAATGGATGTGCACGCAAAACTCATGTTTGGAACAGTACATTCTAGAGGTGGACAAACAGCCATAATTTTCCACTGGAGTTTACAGCGGGTGAATGTGATAAAGAATAAAAAAGTGAAGGAAAAAACGAAAACGAAGAAGTAGCAGCAGCAACAGGAGGAGGAGGAGAAATGTTTTCAAGAAGACAGAATTAGGAACCAATAATTTTTTTTTTGGGGGGGGGGGGAGAAGCATGTTAATTAGATGCAGATGGAAGGGAGGGGCATGTTAATTAGATGCAGATATCATACCTTTATGCTACTTGCTGCTGAAGATGGTCATGGAGCGCTTTTGGAAACTTCTTGAGCACTGTAATGTCTATTATTAAATCAGTTTTGCTCAACTCTGTCCGGCTCTTACACGGCCAGTATAATTTGTTTTTCCGTTGCAAGGGGCAAGTCTCATAATAGATGATGATGGAATTATCCAAGATGATATTGACATCTACCAACCTGTAGTTCAAGGTCGGTGGACTGATTCAGGGATTGGAGGAGGAGACCACCAATCAGGAACCTCCACCTTGCACCTTTGGAAGAACAGTCTGGGAGAGGACCCCCTCCTTGGACATGATGAGAGTATTAACATCAGCGAGCTAGAGGTCGGTTGTGCTTTTTTTAAACCAACTTTCTGCCATTTGTGCTTATATGTACTACTTTTAAGGATAATTTAAGATGAATAAAAAGGGTGGGGTGGAGGGGGGGGGGGGGGTTGCCCCTGACAATATAGGGACATTTGGTCGGTGCAGTCACTATGGACTGTGCAGATTATGATGCTTATTTTTGCTTCAGACAGAAAAAGCCTCAAGTACTTTACCAGGGATCGGACCAGACTTTTCACATTAGAGCCTAGTTTTCAGCTGCTCCTCTACCACCTTTCTTCTTATGTTGCACTCTGAACCTTGTGGTTCCTTGCTGCAGATATCATCTGCCGTGATATATCTCTCCATTGTCTTCTTGATCTGCTATTCAGCTCTCTTGTGTACACAGATTTTACCTCTCTCTCACCTTTCTGCCTACATTATGTAGAGCCTGTTTTTTTTTTGTGTATGAGGGTAGTGATGATTAACGGTGACTAGCACTTTTGCCTGCTATTTTTTATAGTCTTATGTTCTGTTGGGTGTGTTTGTTTTTATAACTCAATTGCACTTCCCAGTCAGCCTGGCTTAAAATGGGCACCAGAAAATTCCAGGAAAGTAACAGGAAATGGCAAAGTCTGGCCACATCTGAAACTGTGTGCTAGCTGGTTTGTAAAATTACTGTACATGCACAGTGTATAAAAATCACTTTGAGGCATGGAAAAAGTTCTTTACTTACTTCACTGATGTTTTGTTTCTATGTTTATTCAAGATAAGTATTTGGCACTATTTCTGTCTGTTCTTACTTGATCTGGTCTCCTGTTTCTGTGTCCTTTCAATGGTGGTTTTGTGCACTATTTATGTGTCTCTCCAGCATTTGTTTACTTAGCACCAGCAACAGTCAGCTAGTACCCTTCAATATCATCGCAAAGAGATCTGGATCACACCAGAACCCAAAACCGCAAACAACGCTGCACAGCAAGGAAGCAAACAACAATAATATCAGGTGTGTCTACACACCACAAATAAAAGGAAACCGTATAAGACAGCAAAGGACCCTTCTTCGATATAGCAGGCCCTCTGGCGGCTGAAAGAGGATCAAATTTGGAATTTTTCTTGGACAACTGGCAATGGCAATTTGTTTACTTTTGCTGTGTCTGTTTAGTGTTGCTTTTGTTTCTGTTTCTGACTCTGGCTTCACTTGAACTTCTCTGCTATTCCTGTGTCTCTCCATTGTTGGTTTTTACACTGTTTCTATGGTTCTTGAATGTTGTTGTTTTTTACACTGTTTCTATGGCTTTTCAATGTTGGTTTTTTACACTTCTTTCTGTGGCTCTACAGTGTTGGTTTTTACACTATTTCTGTGGCTCTACAGTGTTTGATTTTTTACACTATTTCTGTGGCTCTACAATGTTGATTTTTTACACTTATTTCTGTGGCTCTACAATGTTGATTTTTTACACTTATTTCTGTGGCTCTACAATGCTGATTTTTTACACTATTTCTGTGGCTCTACAGTGTTGGTTTTTACATCTTTTCTATGTTTGTCCAATGCTGGTCTTGTTCACTATTTCTGTGACTGCCACATGTTGATCTTGTGTCTGTGACTGCTACATGTTGATCTTGTGTCTGTGACTGCTACATGTTGATCTTGTGTCTGTGACTGCTACATGTTGATCTTGTGTCTGTGACTGCTACATGTTGATCTTGTGTCTGTGACTGCTACATGTTGATCTTGTGTCCTAAATCTGTGACTCTTGTGTGTTGATCTTATGCAGTTTTTTCTGCGTCTCTCAAATTCTGATCTTTGACGCTATTTATGTGTCTGTGTCCACAGTTGATATTGTATATTATTTCTATGTCTGTCTTATGTTGGTCATGGGTGATAAAAGACATAAAATATGTAGCACAAACCAGAAATACTGATGGTCTTTTATTAACTCTGTCACTTATGTCAATTGTTTGTAGTTAAAATGAAGACCCTACATGAACCATCAAAAATGGCTGCTTGTATGTTCATGTGAAATGCTTACTGTATCTAGTAGCATGTAGTAGCGTAACAGTTCATAGGTCAGATTTTAAGAAATTCGCAAGTTACATGAAATTTTGACATTAATTCTTGTTAAAACTCCACAGGCTTCTAAAGAGGACATCAACTTTGTCAGACAGATCGAGAAATATGATGTAATCAGCCCTACCCACAGACACAAATCTTCATTCCTGGGTTTCCTAGATCCAGGGGACAGCACTCTTGATAAACCGCATGACTATGAAGCTGAATTATCCATTAGAAATGACCAGAAGGTAAGAGTGTTCTGATCTGGGGGGTTAGTTGCCAGGTTTATCTGGCTCAAAAGTTTAAACCTCACCTGCCAGAAAAATGTGTGTGCGGTGCACAGAGTTCATGTAGGACAAATGATGACGATGCTGGCTTTGATTATATTTATTATATTACAACCCATTAATGAAAGAATAAATTACCAGCCTCTGTGTGCTTGTGCCCATTGTGGCGTTGTAGCTAGAGCTGTGGTTAATGAAATGAAAGGTTGTGGGTTCACATCAGATCATTTTAACCAATGGCAATGATTCTCTGGTTGACCCAGCCTAAAATAGGGAAGCAAAGGCAGTTGGCATGCTATTGATGACATCAAACATTGATGGCTGATTGGTATATACAATTATGCGTCTAGACTCATATGCCCAGTGTGTCACTAGCGAGAAAAAGTACTTTATTTTTACTCTCTTTGACCCATAATGGCACAGTAAAATGATGATGAAGTATTTTAGTTTCAGTGTTTGCACTTCATTTTATTCATCCATCACAAGTGATGAAGTTCATGCTTTCTTCCATTCATCATGAAGCTGTAGCTGATTGTGAGTGTGGAGGTAACTTGTAAGCCTAGTACAGGCTAGGAAGGAGCTAGGACAGTGATGACGTGGAACAGTTTATACAGGGTCTGTTCTACAGATCTTTCTAGCCTGTCTTCGCTGTTCAGCTGCCATTTTTCTACATGCCATGCAAGTTGCTGCACCTCTTCATATAGACGTTCACTATCTAATCCATGCTGGACTGAATTCTAATCCTGGTATCGAAAGGATTGCACTGTATAAAAGGGAATGGACGAACAGACTGTGAGCCTAAATTGACTTATGATGACACAGCAGGAGGAGGAGGATGATGTTTATAATTCAGGCATAACATATTCTCAAGTGTCTGCTTCATACATTTCATCCTCTTCTTTTCTCTACTCCTGGAATGCCTTGCTGCATCAGGGCAGGAAGAGATCTTTGGAACGGACCCTTTTGTTTGCTTCGTATTTCTCTGTGTCTCTGATATTTCTGCAGTCTATTTTCTGTGTGGTCAAAATCTAGATCTATTACCGCTGTTTCCATGCTTTCTGTGGTTCCCTGTCTGTTGTCAATATTGATACATGGCCAAACCCTTTGATCTGTTGTCTACTGATCAAGTTCAGTGTTGGTTTTTTGCTGCCTCTCCGCCTGATACCATAATTTCTAAGTCGACATTTCCTTATTACACCTAGTATGATATGTAAACATATCATTTCTGTCGTGACTAGTTTTTCTGTCATCTGGATACAGTGTCCATGTTTGACATTGATAGCGAAATGTTGGTAAGAATATTGTGTTGAACAGTGTTCTTTTAGCGTTCACATTTACATGCCAGCATTCCAATATTATATTATTCCTCTGTCCTATGATTTGATTTCATAATGAGGCTGTCAAACATCACCACCTTGAGTGCCCAACTCTAACAGATAACAGCAAATTATTGCTGAATGTACAAGAACAATGGTAGACATGTTATAAACCATCTTACTTTTAGTTTGTCTGGGTAATGATTGGTGAAATATACTGAAGATCATAATCCCAAATGTATGTTTGCTTGCAAAGGTAATCAAGCTACATAAATATTATTATTATTATTTTTATTACTATTATTATTATTTTTATTACTATTATTATTATTATTATCTGCATCTTCTTCTTTTCTTCTTCTGTGTTTACCCATAAAAGGATAGTTGGCATGTTGTGTTGTGGTTTACAGCTAGGCTGTAATATCTACACCTTTCAGCTCAACACATTTGATTTCAGAAAACCCATAATTAATTGCCTTTTATGACATGCTTGTTAGAGGGGCACTGGGTCTTTTCTTTCTTTTTTTCCTGCTGCAAATGGGGCTTGGAAACACATCAAGAATTTTTGTAAAGCATTTTGTTTTTGTCCCTCGCACTGATCTACTTTTTTAAATGATCTTTTAACTACCACAGGAAACAACAGGCCACTATATGGAAGACTTGAGCCGAAGTCAACTGTTCTCTGATGACTATTACAAGCAGCTACATGACCTTGGGGTTCTCATCGATGGAGTTGATCTTTCCAGAGATTCTATCAACGAATCTGATGAAACAGAATTACACTTGGCATCTCATATTGAAGGTGATGGAAATATTAGAGACAGAAAAGATTTGATTGGAGAGTATTTAGAATATGAACTGAGAAAGGAAGAAGAAGAGAATGAGGAGAGAAGAAAGGTTAGCGGAAGAGGATCACAATTTAAGCAGAGTAGCTTCCCTTATTCTCAGCCCAGCTCTCAGGATATCAGCAGCTTTTTTGATGAGGCTGATAATAATGATGATAACATTTATGAAGACGTTGAAGGTAATGGCAAAACTACACCGCAGAATTTGGTCAGAGAAAATGAGGATGTATTTGACTATGTTAGTGGCCATATTTTTCCTGTTCAGTCTAAAGAAAATGCCAGGGGAGAAAAGTTGCTGCATTCAGAAGAAAGCAGCACTGAGAGTAGAGTAAATATGTCATTTGGTCAAACTACTGAACAAAAAAATACAACAGCTGAAAACCAATCTGGCACTTCAAGCACAGGGCCTGCTGGTCATGGAGAAATGTTGAATGATGCCAGATACTTTTACTCTGAGGCTTTTCCTTCTGGCTCTCGTCCATCATCTAGAACTAGCCATGTATCAGTGGCGTCAGAAGCATCTTCTGCCAGACAAAGGAGCTCACAGAAAGCTGTTCCAGTACAACTGGCCAGCATAAATTCCCAGGCAAACTTTTCTGATGAAAAACAAAGAGCTCAAAAAAATCTTGAGAAACCACATCAGAGACGTCTTCTGCCACAACCAAGCAGCTCGGAGCCAAGTCAGTCATTTAGAGCCAAAAATATTCAACCAAATAAGATTGCAACCAAACAAGAACCTGTAAAGCCAAATCATGAATCTGATTCTAAAAGTGTGCGTGGTGTAAGTTATGAAAAAGAAGTTGTTGAAGAGGAGAAGACTGATAAACCAGAAAACATTCACGAGTCGACAAAGCTTCTGCATGACCGCCTGACACAAGAAGCTCTAAAGCGCAAACAGGCAACTGAATTGTTCCAGCATCTACAGAAAGACTACAGTAATTTGCTTACCAAATATGCACAAGCAGAACTGACCATTGACCAGATGCGGTTTGTGAGAATGATCACTCTAAATGGTGATTCCCCAACTCCAAGTCAAGCCCAGTCTGGAGTGATGTCCCCTGCATTAAGTCAGCAGGCGGTAGTTAACTCCCTTCAGAAGTCCCCAAGTCGCGGAGTGTTGATGACCTCGCCAGCACACGGCATGATGGCACATGCTGCTACAGGCACAGGTAAGAGAAATTTACTTATTGGCTATCATGAATGTGATTGAAATCTGCAAGTATTGTCTATGTGATTGAAATCTGCAAGTATTGTCTATGTGATTGAAATCTGCAAGTATTGTCTATGTGATTGAAATCTGCAAGTATTGTCTATGTGATTGAAATCTGCAAGTATTGTCTCTCTTAACTCGTTCAGTACATTAATCGATGACTCAATACATGGTTCGGATTTCTGAATGTCTTCTGTCTCACTTTTCTACCATGTTTATCCACTGTATCTCAAATATTACTTTAACACATTGTGTCCTATGTTTTATTATTTAAACTCAGCGGGACTCAGTTATTGTTATTCTGTAGTACACAAACTGTAATATGCAACGTACTGACGTAACAACTGTCTGGGATTGAAAGAGCTGAGAAAAAACATCCCTTGGCTTCCGTCACACTGAGGGTTGGCTGAGGAAAGCCACTATTGTACATCCCTGCAATAATTTTACAACAAGATGTCATGTTAGCCAGCATAGGACTGGCACTAGAATCCACAGAACTCTGATGTTTCTGTTGAAGGGGGAATCCGAGCACCTGTGGACATGTCCTGATTTACATGAAGATAGCCTAACTCATAATTCATCCCATAACCTAACTCATAATTCATCCCATAACCTAAGTCATAATTCATCCCTAGATTCAGGTGATTTAATAACTCACACAGTTACAAATGTATATCAAATAAGCAGATATGCCATGAAACATCTAACGGCAGTGAAAATTATGTTTCTGAGAAAAATGCAAAAGAATAGCAAGGACAGATAGAAAAGCAAATTAAGTCTGTAATTAAAAAATCCCAATGTGGGTTCCAGAGTTCCTGTTGAGGAGAAATAAGATTACACCCACTGCTCCTTCCCAGGCATGTCATAAATGATGGCTCTTCCCGTGTGGGTTCCAGGGCCCATTCTGGGGGAAAAAACAGAATAGATATGATGCCTCCCTCACAAGCATGTCATAAGAGTCGACTAATTATGGGTTTGCTTCGAAGTCGGAGGGCATCTGCCTCAGAACTGACAGACTGTTTACAGATAAGCCAGAGTGTCAAATGGATGTGCACACAATACTCAAGTTCTGGGATGAACAACCAGAACTTTCCTCCAGAGTTTTCAGCTGGCGAGCACAAAGAAGAAGAAGAAGAAGAAGAAGAAGAAGAAAAAGAAGAAGCAGAAGAAGATAAATGATGGCTAGTTAAGGATTTGTTAAAATTTGATGTGTTGGGCTGGAAAATGCAGAAATCACATTCTAGCTGTAAACCACATCACTGTACCAACCATCCTTTTAAAGGTGCATGCAGAAGTGGGGGTGGTAGACCTTCTGCTCTCCAACAAGCATGTTGTCAGAGGTGGCAATTTAAGGGTTGTAAAAAATGGAAGTGTCGGGTTGCAGGAGTAGCCCCTCTGCCACTTAGAACACAGTGTGCCAGCTGCCTTTTAAGGATGAATGCAGAGTGAGAAGATTTGTCTGTTTCTTGTGATTTGATGAGTGAATTAAAAACACTTGCATTTCATTTCCATGGTTACAAATTTCTTTTTCTGATTTAAAAGACATCCGTTGATTCATTATTTCAGATAGTATTGACCAATCAGACAGAGGTTCTCATCCTGCTCAGGGGAATCAGAGTTCAGCGTCTCGTTTAGAAGTTCACAGAGGAAGTGTGGTATCTCTGCTTCAGTCCGCAGCAGACGGCGATGATGTCACAGAGCAAGTGTCAGAAACCAGAGTGGAAACAGTCAAGTCTGATCTCTTGCTGGGAGCCAAGAACATGGAGGAGCGGGTAATCCAGTGATGTTTGTTTGTTTGTTTTAGTATCCAGAAGCCATGAGTTGTTAACCCTTAGGCTCCGTATTATGGATATCGCAACCTTTCAGCCTTGATTCCATTGTAAATACCCTAAATCTGGGAGAAATGTGGCTTTTCTGCCTACCCCCGGGAGTGAACCCGGACCACAAAGAGTTCGACCACCGGCCTCCGCGCAATCCGGTTTAGCCAACTACGCTAGAGAGCCAGGCATCCAATGATGTTATTGACCTGTATCAAGTAGCTTACTGTGACTTGATTAGTTACACCTTAAATGATCCCAACAATTTTGGCTTTCTAAGTCTAAGATTTTCTTTACCAGGCTTATTATCCTGCATTGGTTATGTTATGTTATCTTGTCTTATCTTATAACAAGTGATGTCATGGCACATTGGGCATTCCCATGCATGTTCAGTTCCCCTAATGCAGCAGCCACTCCTAGGTACCTCTGCTGATTGTTTTCATGAGAATTTGGTTATAGCACCTCCTGTCTTGGTCTGAAAGATAGCATAGATGTGCTTCACCATGCTTTACTCCCAGGTCATGTAATCAGGTTAGCGTAAGAGATTCATCACTGTCTGCCAGTTTAGTTCATATATCATTGATGATATCAGCTCTGTCCTTACTTTTTTTTTCTCATATGCATTGGTGGATTAAGTGCCAGCTGGTTGACTTGTTCATTTGGTTGTTCAATCTATTGTCTGGTGTACATTGGGTAGAGATTACTGTAGAGGTTATTACACTTACCTGCCAATCCATAGATAACCTTTAAATCCCCTTTAAATCAGGGATTTTTGTAAAATTCACCGAGGTTTTCAGATCAGCCCAGTCTAAAATAATTATTAGGGAATTGCCTAGGAAATAAAGTTCAAATCTATTCTCGCCTGCCAGCTCAAAGGTTTATGGTTCAACTCGCTTTGAGGTAATTTTCATTTTCATCTTTCAAAATTGACAGTGGCTCCCACCAGGCATATCAGCCTAAAATGGCTAGCAGGTAAACTCCTGGGAAGTAAATGCAGCCAACATAATGTTGGCCACATCATCCGTTGATTCCTGATTGGTCTATTAAAAATCTTGGTCAAGTCCTATATTTCCCTGGCATAAGGCATGGAAGTGGTCCCAGGAAAGACTATATCACCTGGGAGGTCAAGGTCTTAGAATTGTGACCATATCACCTGGGAGGTCAAGGTCATATAATTGTGACCATATCACCTGGGAGGTCAAGGTCATATAATTGTGACCATATCACCGACTGAGATTTGATTGTAATATATCAACAGAGAGCTAGAAACCAGTAAGTGTGTTTGGTACAAAGCCCCTTACTTTAGAATGAGATTATATCTTACTGTCTGGAATAGAAGCAGGTTCGAATAACACTTGCTCAGAACAAAATAAAAAGTTAAAACTGCCAGGACTGAGTCAGATAATGGAACAATGTTTGGGAGAGGAAAGTTCTAATTAATGTTTGTAAAAAATATATTAAGGAAAGCTGGTATGTTTTTATTTACCACAGCTGGAATCCTTCTTCACCCTGCTGGATGGAGGGCACCTGAGTCTGGAAAACCAGGAGCTCATGTTTGAGCACATCAAAAGTGACCATGACACACTGAGGCGTGCATATCTACAGGTCAAGGACGAATACAATGTTCTTCGAAGATCTGGAGCTTTAGTCTCAGAGTTACAGAGCTTTGATCAGAATAAAGAGTTAGAGGGATATCTGTTCAGGCAAGTGCAGGATTGTCTATTCATACACCCACCCATTCTTCCATTGGTCTCTTCAACCAGATTCATCAATCCATCCCTATCTATCCTTTTGTGCATCAGCCTACTTATCTTTTCTTCCATTTATACAGCCTTCCATCAATGCAGACAACCATCTACTCATTTATAAAGCCTTCCATCAATGCAGGCTACCATCTACTCATGTATAAAGCCTTCCATCAATGCAGGCAACCATCTACTCATTTATACAGCCTTCCATCAATGCAGGCAACCATCTACTCATTTATACAGTCTTCTATCAATGCAGACAACCATCTACTCATTTATACAGCCTTCCATCAATGCAGACAACCATCTACTCATTTATACAGCCTTCCATCAATGCAGACAACCATCTACTCATTTATACAGCCTTTCATCAATGCAGACAACCATCTACTCATTTATACAGCCTTCCATCAGTGCAGACAACCATCTACTCATTTATACAGCCTTCCATCAATGCAGACAGCCATCTACTCATTTATACAGCCTTCCATCAATGCAGACAGCCATCTACTCATTTATACAGCCTTCCATCAATGCAGGCAACCATCTACTCATTTATTCATTAATCTTTCACTATAATTCTGTATAAACCCATCATTCTGCTCATTCCTTTATCCACTTTATTAAACCACTCAATTTAACCATTCTTGCAACCAGACCAACCATTTGACTGTCTAAATTAGTGTTTGTTTAATCATCTGTCCCACTGTCTGTTTATCAAACATTACATCAATCCATCAGTTCACTTGCCAATCCATGAATGGCGAACTTGGTGGAAATAATGGTGATCACAAAATGGAGGTTTGAGAATGGAGGTGGAGGCAATAATGGCAGCTTTCTGTTGGCTTGAGAGTTGCACAGCCAGACATTTTGTAATTGTTACAGACTCACAGAGCATGCTTCAGAAAAATGAACTAGTGTCCTTCATGCAGAGTGGCTTGTATCACTCGATAAGACTCAGATCAAGAGAATATCATGGATGTTCTGTCCAGGAAATTCAGGTGTGCGAGGCAACAAGCAGGCTGATAGATTAGATGATGCTGCTGCTCTTGGCTGTGAGCTTGTGTATGATAAAACATATTTGGTGAAAGCTCTGTGGGACCAAATGGATAATGCTAAAGAACAGACAGGAAATCCAAACACTGAAAGACTAATTTTACGGGGGTGAGTAGAGCTTCTAAGAGATATTCAACATTAAAGGGAGAATAGGGGTGGGCTTTTAATCAGACTGCAACTGGTACCAGTAGCTTGTCAACTCTTCATTGGTTACTGAAGAAGGGGGCGGAGCACGTGTAGGAATGTCTTGTGTGCAGTTATGTAAATTCCTGATTGATTCTTCAGGGTGATCTCAGTCAAACTGTTATCAGGAAGAAATATAATGCAATGAATAGTATGGAGGTTGATGTCTAGAATTCTTCTTCTTCTACTTGTGGTGCTCACTGACTAAGACCTCAGTCAAAACATGTGATTGTTTCTGTGATGGTTTTTCTCTTCCTCCCTCATTTAGCTTTCTAGACATTGTTCATTGTCTTCATTTCATGTTGGCTTGTTTATTTTTTTCAGATTAGGGATGAGATTTGATGAAATCAATGACACTGTAGAGAACAACCTCAAAGAAAGGTCAAAGCAGAGACGACCGTTCCAGGACAGCCAGTCAAGAAGGCGTGATGACAGTAGAGAAGGTCAGAGTTCAGGCATGCAGCTTCCCGACTCACATATCAGACAGATCTTTTCTTATCACTTCTGTCCAGTCAGCTCTTTCCCGACCCTATCTGATCAGTTCTGTCGCCAGGTCTGTGCAAACCCTGTCCGATCAGTTCTACCCGGACCATTTCCAGTCAGTTCTATCCAGTCACTTTTGTGCAGACCCTGTCTGGTCAATTCTGTCCAGTCACTTACATCCCATTAATTCTGTCCAGTCAGTTCTGTCAAGACCCTGTCTAGTCAGTTTTGTCCAGTCACTTACATCCCATTAATTCTGTCCAGTCAGTTTTGTCGCCTCCTTGTCCTGTCATTTTCCTATGTAACAAAGGCCCTCAGCCGACATCAGGCCCTTCACAGACTGAAGCACTGCTTGCATTTCACAGTTAATGTTTTAACCCTTTCAGTCCCAGATACTCATGCCCAATGCTCTGGGGCGGCATTAATGACAACAACCAAATGGATGTACTTACTTTCAAATAACCAGATTAACAGCCCATGTTGAAGGAAATACCTTTCAGTGCTTTAAAAAGGGAAACAAGTTAAACCTAAGGTATAAAATCAGTTTCAACGCATTGATAGATACACATGCGTAGTATTCAGTCACACATGGCATGCTGAATAGGACAGAAAGGGTGTTAATGAACTAAGGTAGCTGGTGTCAGTCCACCAATTATGTCCCCTACTACAGGGCTATTGAACCAACAGTCTGCATACCAAAACTGGTCCTCAGAGGCCTAGCGAATGGCCTGCAGATAATTTCCAATTGTTTTGTATTAATGATCATTCTGTGCTGAGGCTCGGGTCGCCGGCCCATGACAATCCCAATTTTTCAGACAAGCCAGATTTTCAAGCAAAAATCAGTTCTGACACATGACCAAATTCAAAAATTGTTGCACAACCAGTTATAGCTGGTGAATTCTAAGAAAAAGAAGAAGAAGAAGAAAAATACTGTTATCATGTTTTACTCTTATCAAATTTTACTGTTATCATGTTTTACTTTTAACAAGTTTACTCTTATCAAGTTTACTGTTATCAAGTTTTACTTTTAATAAGTTTTACTCTTATCAAGCTTTACTATTATCATGTTTTACTTTTAACAAGTTTACTCTTATCAAGTTTACTGTTATCAAGTTTTACTTTTAACAAGTTTTACTCTTATCAAGTTTACTGTTATCAAGTTTTACTTTTAACAAGTTTTACTCTTATCAAGTTTATTGTTATCATGTTTCACTTTTAACAAGTTTACTCTCATCAAGTTTACTGTTATCATGTTTTACTATTGTCAAGTTTTACTTTTCTTAAGTTTTACTCTTATCAAGTATTACTCTTATCAAGTTTTAGTGTTACCAAGTTTGACAATTATAATGTTTTATTATTATCGTTTTACTGTTAAGTTTTAATTTTAACACATTTTACTCTTATCAAGTTTTACTGTTATCATGTTTTACTGTTATAAAGTTTTTCTACTGACAGGTTTTACTCTTTTTTACAATTAAAACTGTCATCTGTGAATGGCTGTTTCAGGAACCAACAGCAAAAATAATCTGGCTGATAGCCATAGAGAAAGTGGAGTTTTGACAGATCAAAAACCTTCCAGTAATAGAAATGGTGAAGCCATCCGTAATTCAACAGATGCACGGAAACTTGAAAAACGAGTAGATCAGTTGAGGGAGGATTACAATACAAACATGGATGCCTACAGGAAGTTGAAATATTCAGCCAGTACTCCAGAAGGAGTGAGAGAAATAGAACATATTGTCATGGTAAGTTCACTTAGCTGATTGATCTGTCTTTCAATTAGTTTATGATCTGCCTTCAAATCTTTCTCAAGTCTCTTGTCAAAGTGAAGTAAAGACCAGTGGCTTCTCGGGCAAATGATACGAGGCTCATATTTGTATAGATCAGTTGGACCCTGGGGCTGATCTGGGCAGTGTCATGTTAGCCACTTTTATTTCCCAGGACTTCTTACTCAAGGTCTCCCTGGGAGCCAAGGTCAGTTTGAACAAATAAAATGTGGATTTCATGACCGTATTATGAGTGTTTCATTCTTTTGGTGCATCTGTCTAAGACGCGAGGAAACAACATTCTGCATACAAATAATCCAGATCTGTAAAACAAATGTGCACGTAAAACACAGATTTTCTTGAATAAGACCAAAATCCAGAAGTGGATAAACAACAAGAACTTTCCACTGGAGTTTACAGCTGGCAAAGGCTAAGAATAAGAGGAGGAAGAACCAAAACAAATTGCCTTATTGTGGAAATTGAACCCGAGATTAAAAGGTTTTATGTAATATTATTATATTTATTTTGTTCCTACTGTATAGATATAGATACTTCTTCACGTTTTAAACTGATGATGTTTTTTCTCTGTAAAAGTGAAAGAGTTCTGAAATAACTGTTACTGTTGTGGTTTGGTATGTTAACTCTTTGTATCCCAGATGGTCATAGTTGATGCCCCAGTGAGTCAGCTGAGAAATCAACAAAATAATGAGCATACTAACCCCACAGTGCCCAATTACACATCCATTATGGAGGTCATATGTATTGTACAGTGTTTTAGCATGTCCCAACTAAACATAAAATGTACAAGCATGATCATCTGTTAACTGATGCATACGAATATACCTAGTCATACACTGTGCATTGTTTGGAACTGAAACAGTTTAAATACCATATTTCCCCACGTATAAGATGAATTTATTTTCCACAAATTTAGGGTCGACAAACAGTGTGGGTCTTGTACAGTGGTAGTAGATTGTTACCTAATGATTTTGTTTGTCCTGAGAGAAGAATGAAACCAATGGATGAAGTCTTCTGGAGACACTCTGACACTAGCTGGTGGTGTGAAGAAACCAATTATAGGAACAGTTTGTAAGTAAAGGAAAGTAAAGTAAAGGACCCTTTTCCAGGCCTTTAGGCATATTGGGCATATAGGGCTAGAGCTATATTTAATAGACCAGTTGGCACTTGGTGGGTGATGTAGTCAACACGCCGAGCACCTTCACTTCCCAGGGCTGCACCTGGTACACACTTAAGTCTGGGTCAACCTGGGAGCCAAGGTCATTTTCTTTTTAAGAAAGCCTGGTTCCATCAGGACTCGAACCCGCAACCTCCCGATCCGCAGGCGAGTATGTTTGTACCCGAGTGAAAAGATCCTGGAATAATGTAACGATTTAGATCACTGATAAGTAATTTGAGAAGTGTGGCAGATGAAACTGAGCATGAGGTAATATTTGAAGGCAGTGATTTATCATCACACACAGTTTAAGACAAGCTGAACTTTGAAGACAACAAAGAGAGCAGCTTAATCAGTTTTAAAATGTTGATAGCCTACTTCTGCCTAATGTTCAAAGATCTAGGGTTTAAATCCACAGCTAGGGAGTTTATGTTTTTTAAACTGACCTTTGCTCCCAGGTTGACCCAGCCAAAAACGGGTACCAGGTAATGTTCTGGGAAGTCAAGGCGGCCGGCATGAAATTGACCATATCACCCACTGAGTGTCGATTGCCTGTAAATAAGTGAATCTAGAATCATCAGTGTACCACCAGAGTAAAAGGTTAATTGACCTCAGTACAGTGACCTTACATGTGTAGTTATAAATTGTTGACTGTACTTGGTAAATTGAAAAATTATTGGCTGTGTTCATATGTTCATATGTTCATATGTGTTCATGTTCAACTGTTTCATATATTATACTTAACTGTTTCATATATTATACTAAACTGTTTCATATATTTTACTAAACTGTTTCATATTTTATACTTAACTGTTTCATATATTATACTTAACTGTTTCATATATTATACTTAACTATTTCATATATTATACTTAACTGTTTCATATATTATACTAAACTGTTTCATATATTATACTAAACTGTTTAATATATTATACTAAACTGTTTCATATATAATACTAAACTGTTTCATATATTATACTAAACTATTTCATATATAATACTAAACTGTTTCTTATATTATACTAAACTGTTTAATATATTATACTAAACTGTTTCATATATAATACTTAACTGTTTCATATATTATACTAAACTGTTTCTTATATTATACTAAACTGTTTAATATATTATACTAAACTGTTTCATATATAATACTTAACTGTTTCATATATTATACTAAACTGTTTCTTATATTATACTAAACTGTTTAATATATTATACTAAACTGTTTCATATATAATACTTAACTGTTTCATATATTATACTAAACTGTTTCTTATATTATACTAAACTGTTTAATATATTATACTAAACTGTTTAATATATTATACTAAACTGTTTCTTATATTATACTAAACTGTTTAATATATTATACTAAACTGTTTCATATATTATACTTAACTGTTTCATATATTATACTAAACTGTTTCATATATTATACTAAACTGTTTCTTATATTATACTAAACTGTTTAATATATTATACTAAACTGTTTCATATATAATACTTAACTGTTTCATATATTATGCTAAACTGATTTCTGTGACATATAATATGGTAAATTTGCTTTGTGGCGGTTTATTTTTTTCTTTTTTTATTTAACAAATGTTACTATTTTACTAGCTGAAACTTGTCCCAGTTGAAGATAACTAACTGGTCACTGTGTCATGATGAAGTGCTTACCATTTTATGAGCATTTCTTTTTTAATCAAGCCTACATTTTCTTCAGCAACTTGATGAAATTTGTACAGAAATGCCAGATATGTTCAGACTTTCACCAGAAATACAAGCCAGGTAAGATGTTAGGAAATAATTGTATCTGTGATCTGCCCTTCTGTCTGTTTAAGGAGTACTTGCTAATGGGCATTTGACTCTTGCAGTTTCAGAAGCTTGCAGCAGACGTCTAATGGGGGAAGTAGAGATAGCATTAAAAATTTAACATCAGGAGAAGCAAACAAAAAGGGGGGTGGTCTTAAGGTATGGTGTCCGCCTCGAGTGCTGGAGGTCCCGGGTTCACCCTGGTGAGGGCTGGGATTTTTTACGTGGACTTCTAGTAATTTCCCCTGGTCTCTGGGTAGTGAGATCGGACGCCCATGTGTATTCTTGCTCACGTGAAAAAATCCCTTGGCAGTTGGAAATCGAAAATAGTAGCCTAACGGCGCTGCTCGGGCAAAATTTGGATTTAAAAATCTATCCAGAGTATTTCTGGAACCTCGCTGGTCAGCAGAGTTTGTGCACTGTGCTGAGATTCTTCAGACTCAGGCTTGGGTTAGAAGTAGAACGAAGCTTTTATGGGTTACACATGTGTGCCGTGATGTTGATGCGTCGAATAAACATAAACATAAACAAAAGTAATTATTATGACAGTTAATGAAATGATCAAGGCAAAATTACAATAACTGGAAAATTTTAAGACATTAAAAAAATAATATTGGCAGAAAGAGGCAATGCTGAATGGGTTGGCAGAGTTGTATGGAGAATTAATAATGGTTGATTGTACTGAGAATACAGAAAACATATTTTGGAGAAAACTAATCGCCTGCGTAACCCAGCATGGAACATGATGATGATTGCTATATGTTCACAAGACAGTGTCTAAACTGTTATAATATAGGGCAGTAAAGTTATATTTAGTTTTAGACTTATTTTAATGAGAATGTTTATTATTTCAGCCAAATATATTCACTGTCATAATATTTAGTCTTAACAATCATTAAAATTAGTCTCCCTTTGATGAAAGTGAATTGAGTGACCTTCTAGCATATTGACTTTATTTTGTTTCTGTGACAAGACGAGACCAGCTAGTGAGAGAGAACCGGCTGAAAATCAATGATCGCAAAAATTCTGTGTAAGTTAAACCTTTGTGTGAGTTTAACCTTTGCGTAAGTTTAACTTTTGTGTAAGCTTAACCTTTGTGTAAGTTTAAACACCCTCCCCTCCCACCCCCTCCCAATCAAGTATTATGTTAATTTCTTGGGTGTGGATTATTTTGAAATTGTGAACATACTTTTTGTATGCACATATAGTTAGACGATGTGTTTAATAAATCTAGCAAGCGTGCTGAGAGACATTGTGTTATAATGATATTAAAGTTTTGCAAAAAAAATCCTACAAAACTGAAACCAGATCTTCTAGCAACCACATGAAAAAAAACTGGCTCTTTTCAGGGCCTTCAGGCAAACTGAGTATATTGTACAATCCCTGTACACTCGCATGTAAATCCTAAAGTCGTGGGGTCAGATCTGAACAGAGCCAGACTTTTTTTTTTTAGAGTGACTTTGCCTCCCAGGTGGACCCAGCCTTAAATGTGTACCAGGTTAAGTCCTGGGAAGTAAAGGTGGTCATCTGATGTTGACCACATCACCAACCAGGTGCTGATTGGTCTATAAAAAAGACAGGTCTAGCCCTATATGCCCAGTGCCTGAAGGCATGGAACAGGATACTAGCCATATACATTTTATAGAAAATGATTGCAGATGGGGGAAGAGTTAAACATATGAGAGCAAACATGATAAATACATTCTGTTACAACTGTAGTCCTGAAACCCCATGCTCTTGTAGTGGAAGACTTTCCTTAACTGAAGCGGGTCTTGCTTGTCACATTATTCATAGATTTTGGCATTGATGCCCTGTAGCATAATATAACACTCTTGTCTGGCCATTTGATTTTCCCTGGCACAGGAACAGAGCAAGTATGGGGGTGACCCAATGGCAGTGAAGTTGAAACCTTTACTAAGACTAAGACTAAGACTGTTGTCCACAAAGAAGGAAAGGTACCAACTGAAGTACTTTGTATAGACCAGTTGTCACTCCACAAGTCACGTCTGCTCAGTGTCACAAAAGAGTTTTTCCTTGGGGAAAAGTTTCTTGTTCCAGTGTTAGGCCTGGCTGACCTGGTAGGTCGGGCACTTTTTCTTTTTTTTAATTATCCACATTGATGGGGATTGAAACACAGGACTACAAGCTTATCAGGCATTTGGGTTAACCAGTGTGCAATGACAGTTATGCAAAATTAAATTGTGGAAAAGTACAATCACTTAACTGACCTGTAACACTATACGGTAGCAAAATATGAGAGTGATGGGACTTAGAAACTAGTGATATGTTGTGTTATTGCTGAGTGGGGGGACTTAGAAACTAGTGATATGTTGTGTTATTACTGGGTGATGGGACTTAGAAACTAGGGATATGTTGTGTTATTACTGGGTGATGGGACTTAGAAACTAGGGATATGTTGTGTTATTACTTGGTGAGGGGACTTAGAAACTAGGGATATGTTGTGTTATTACTTGGTGAGGGGACTTAGAAACTAGGGATATGTTGTGTTATTACTTGGTGAGGGGACTTAGAAACTAGTGATATGTTGTGTTATTGCTGAGTGAGGGGACTTAGAAACTAGTGATATGTTGTGTTATTACTGGGTGATGGGACTTAGAAACTAGTGATATGTTGTGTTATTACTTGGTGAGGGGACTTAGAAACTAGGGATATGTTGTGTTATTGCTGGGTGAGGGGACTTAGAAACTAGGGATATGTTGTGTTATTGCTGGGTGATGGGACTTAGAAACTAGGGATATGTTGTGTTATTACTGAGTGATGGGACTTAGAAACTAGTGATATGTTGTGTTATTACTGGGTGATGGGACTTAGAAACTAGTGATATGTTGTGTTATTGCTGAGTGAGGGGACTTAGAAACTAGTGATATGTTGTGTTATTACTGGGTGATGGGACTTAGAAACTAGTGATATGTTGTGTTATTGCTGGGTGATGGGACTTAGAAACTAGGGATATGTTGTGTTATTACTGGGTGAGGGGATTTAGAAACTAGGGATATGTTGTGTTATTACTGGGTGAGGGGATTTAGAAACTAGGGATATGTTGTGTTATTACTGGGTGAGGGGACTTAGAAACTAGGGATATGTTGTGTTATTACTGGGTGAGGGGACTTAGAAACTAGGGATATGTTGTGTTATTACTGAGTGAGGGGACTTAGAAACTAGGGATATGTTGTGTTATTACTGGGTGATGGGACTTAGAAACTAGTGATATGTTGTGTTATTACTGAGTGAGGGGACTTAGAAACTAGTGATATGTTGTGTTATTACTGGGTGATGGGACTTAGAAACTAGTGATATGTTGTGTTATTACTGGGTGAGGGGACTTAGAAACTAGGGATATGTTGTGTTATTACTGGGTGAGGGGACTTAGAAACTAGTGATATGTTGTGTTATTACTGAGTGATGGGACTTAGAAACTAGGGATATGTTGTGTTATTACTGGGCGATATGACTTAGAAACTAGATTGTATTTACTTGTAAAGGTAAAAAATCCATTTAACATGTCAGACATTAAGGCATCCTAAGAAAATTAGGCTATCCTCATATTTTTGGTGATCTGGCATTGATCAAGGTGGGACTTAACCATTTGTATTCACAATGTGCACGTATACATACAATTGTTGTGTGAGGAATTTGGCTGTATAAACAATGGCTAAGTACTTAACTTACAACTGAATAATATATTGCAGATGGGAAAAGCTCAACAAGAGGGAACAGGAAGTTAAACAACATAGAATGTCCCCCGTGTCGCCATTACTAAGGGACAGTCACTCTGGTGTCGTGTACAACCAACAGGTAAAAAAGATAATAGTTTACTTTCTATTTAATTTCATGCTCGTAAGACTTCATTCATGTTTTCTACCAAAGTTTTCTTATCTGTCATATTCTGTTGTCTAGTCATCTGGATTCGAATCATGAAAATTTACACCTCGTTCACAATCACATATTTTGCTTCCTGCCTAGAATTAATAGATAAATTAACTGTTTTCTGTATAAATGTATCTTGATTTTGGATATATTTGTGATTTCCAAGACATTTTTTGGGGAGGGGGGGGGGGGGGGTGTTTACATTTCTGTTTTCAAGTAAAAAGATCAAAATTTTGGGTTTTTCATTGGACAGATGTTAATGTGCAGAGCTAAAGTATCAATCAAGAAAATAGTTGTCGGTGTGTTTTCATTACCCACGAGGGAACCAAGATTGTGAATACTGTAAACTGCCATGAATGTCATAAGAGGCAACTAAAGAGTGGTGGAATGAGATTAACTAGCTCATCTGTAGAAAACTTCAGCTAAACAATTCCAACCACCCCTGAACAAAGGGCTAAGCTTGAGTTGGTTAAAGGTCTGTACTCATTGGGAGATGAAAGGCAGAAGACGAAGAAAATATCCAGCAGTGGTCTCAGATTTTTACTGTCTAAGCTTCTGTATCATTCGTCTCCAAGCTCCCTGTGTGGGTTCCGGGGCCCTATTATAGGGGAAACAAGAATAGACCCACTGCCTACCCAAAAACATGTCGTAAGAGTCGACTAATTGGGAGCTTCCTTTGAAGTCGGAGTGCATCTGCCTGAGAGGCAAGGAACCAGCAGTCTGTATACAAATAAATCAGATATGTAAAACAGATGCACATGCAACACTCAGGTTCTGGAACAGGACTGCAGTCCAGAAGTGCATGAACAACCAGAACTTTCTGCCAGAGTTTACAGCGGGTGAACACAAAGAAGAAGAAGATTCGTCTCCAAGGAAGAGTTGCTGTTTGATTCTAAATAAACAGCTACATCAGACAATTAATGTTTAATGATCCAAACTGTTTCTACCTCCAGGATGAGCGAGCTCCTAAGATTGTAAGACATGGATCTCACAGTTCAGATCAGGACAGTTTACGAGCCAGATTAGGTAATTTCCTGTTGCCATTACCAAACACATACTCTATTTGTGTCCACACATACAGACTTTATTCACAATGCGCACATACACATATGATTCTTGTGTGAGTAGTTTTGGCTGCATAAACCTGAAAAGTGCTTAGTCTTCCCTAGAATCAGGTGAAGATTATAATATTTCTAGTTCATATTTAGCCACTGGCTCATGTGTTGACCTCTTCCTTTAAGCTTCTTGTCAGTTCCCAGTTTATTGCCACAGATGTTTTTAGTTTGTTATTTCATCAGATTTTCTGACATGGTTTACCTGGTGCTTTTGTTTGGTTCTGCCTGGCATATAATGTCACAACGTCCGGTATGAGAATGGAGGTGGAGGCGGTAACGGCAGCTTTCTGATGGCTTGAGGGCAGCACAGTCCAACATGTGATAATGATAACACACTCACAGAAAATAGCAACTGGTATCTTATGCCTAGAGTGGCTTCTATTCCTTGATAAGAATCTCATCTAGAGCATATCATGGATGTTCTGTCAATGATATTTGGGTGTGCAGGGTAATGAGCAGGCTGATAGATTGGTTGCTGCTGGTGCTGCTCCTCCTCTAGGTGATACTCTATATTATGATAAAATGGAAGTGGTGAAAACTCTCAGGGATCAGGTGGACGATGCACTAGAACAGACCGCGCACCCATACATTAACAGGCTAATGCAGTTGGGGGGAGGGAAAGGAAGTTATCCAAGACTGAAGGAGAACCAGAGGTGGACTTAAATCAGGTTACAACAGGGACTATTAGCATATCAACTCTTCATTGGCTGCTGTGGATGAAGACTGAGCATGTATGGGAATGTTCAGAGTGCAGGAATGTCAATTCTTGATTTATTGATTCATTCTTTGGTTATAATAGTAATAGAGAGAAGAAGGATTACACATATTAAACATTTTTCACTTTGCTAATTATTTTCTGTTATTATTCTAAATTCTCTGGAATCTACCATAGAGGGTGGCAGTAGCAGATCAAGCCTAACCTCCATTTTGCCAGACCGCATGGACGGACGGCCATCGAGGAGTAACAGCCTGACTGATCACCTACACTCTCACAGCAGTACTGACAGACCATCATCACGTGCCAGTAACAGAGGATACAGTTCTGCTGACCCTGATAGACCGTTATCAAGGTCAGGGACACCAGGGGGAGATCATTCATTCTCTGACAGGTTGGTGACTTTTTATTTGCGTCTTGTTAAAACACTTTTCATAGTTTAATTATTTAAAATATGTCAGAGACAAAATAAACAAATTTGTCCGACATCAGGAGCCTCTCTTGGTATTGGTGAAATGTCACAAGCTAGCTTTGATTGAGCACGTAGTGTGACATGATTTGATTGCAATTACTCTGCTTCAGGGAACAGTGGTAGGTAGTCGAAGAAGAGGAAGGCAAAGAAGAAACTGGAATGACAACATCAAGAAAGGGACAGGACTAACTTATCATACACTTGTTCAACAAGCGGAAGAGAGAGAGAGACATGGCGGGTTTTATGTGGTAGTGCTTCCATTGATGCACCTCCATGACCCTAAATGGTCAAAGTTTAGGTTATTAATGCAAAATAATCATTTCTATATACACATATTACTCCTTATTAAAATGCTATCTTTTCCTGAGACACATACTGTGTATTGCGTGGACAAACAGAGTCACTAACGACGACAACTGTCTGCAAATGGCTCATGAAATTAGAAAACTAGATAAAGCTATAAGAAAGAGGCAGTCTGTGTTCTTTGGTCATGTGATGAGAAAAAAAAGCATTGGAGAACATTGTGATGACTGGAAATATCAAGGGTAGAAGAGTCAGAGACAGACCAAAAGAGTTTATGCTTGATGGCCTGAAGTAATGGCATGGTGGAATATCATCAGTGGAATTGATTCAAAATACCAAAGACTGAGATTAAAAGAGATACATGAGTGCCTGTGTCGCTCAGCAGGGCACATTATGGTGATGATGATAGCGTAAAAAATCTTTTTTTTTTTTTTTTTTTTTTTTAGTAATTAACGCACAAGACATGAGCACAGTCATATTAAAAAAATGATCTGCTGTCTGGTTGAGTTGACGTATTGCGACTAAATCTTTTTGCAACCCGGTTATTCCAGCATGTCTAGGGACCTTGATACCTCCAACCCCAGTTTCAGGAGACCCAGAGGACACGAACACGGCGTCAAGGACCCCAAATTATCACAGGTGACATTTTCACCTTTTTTTAATATCTTGCTGCCTCTCTGACTCTCCTTTTCTGTTTCACTGTTTTATTCTCTCTCACTCTCTCTCTCTCTCTCTCTCTCTCTCTCTCTCTCTATATATATATATATATATATATATATATATATATATATATATATATATATATATATATATATATATATATATATGTATATATATATATAGAAATATATATATACACACTGTTGTTTGCAGCCGGTGTTGCGTAGTGACTAGCGGCCTGTGCATACAATGCTGAACTCTATCATTGACATTTGTTATCATTGTGTTCTTGTCAGTGTATCTTAGCCAGTTAGAATTCTGATTGATTGATTATGTTGACTGAGTGTTTGTAAGTTTAAACATTCATCATTCATTAGACGAGACAGTTGACAAAATAGTATTTGCAATGACTGCAGTGAGTAAGCAGACAGGCAGGTATTGTGGCCTGTTTGCTGGGGAAGAGAGAAGGGAACTGTTGTATGTGGAAGTCACTGTGTTGTGTAAAGAGTTAATGATTCCAGGGCTTTGTGAAGCATGGGTACACATGGGCATTCATGTGAAGAAAACATTTGGGGGCCACTGGAAGAGAGTGGAGCGTGAGATACTTAAGAGTTGTGGAGGACGTATTGCTTTAAGTTCATGACTTGCTTGTGGATATGTCACCATGGTCCATCACGGATATTGTGGGATCCATGTGGACTGAAAGCATGGGTGGGTTGCGAACCCCGGGTTTTGGTGAGAGAATGAGGATCACGCCAAATGGACTGCAGGTGGGAAAACTCCTGTGGTAGTTTGCGTTGTCAGTTGCATCCAGTCTAAGTGTGTGGATGTGTGCATGAATTGTTCGTCTCATGGACTTGGTGTGTATGGCAGTTTAAGAAGATGTTTTATTCTGCAGAAGCTCCTAAACTGATCCTAAACTGGATCATAAGTTGGACTTTAAAATGATTTTCTAGAATGGACTTTTGTCAGACCATGTGTGTGTGTGGGGTCGGCAAAGTTGCAGCTATGTGGCACTCTGGTCGATGGGGTGTCATTGTGTGTTACATCAGGTGCTGTGGTGGTAATTTTGCGTGTGTTGACCCCTCTTTTTCTGCAAAATCGTAGTCGGTAGCTTGTACACATTAAGGATGTTTGAAAACAAAAGGATCTTCATCACACTCAGGTGTATTCCATGTGATTCTCTCTCTCTCTCTCTCTCTCTCTCTCTCTCTCTCTCTCTCTCTCTCTCTCTCTCTCTCTCTCTCTCTCTCTCTTTCTCTCTCTCTCTCTCTCGCTCTGTAGATGTAGAACTGACCACACTACAAGGTCATGGAATGACTTCTGGTATTCAAACTTGTTCACAAAGCAGTTCACACTTTTGTACATTATCTTACACCTAACTCAACACATGATGTTGGACTGAAGGAGATTGGTCAGAAGGTACAAAAACACAGTCCAGTGGAAGAGGTGTGTAAAATATGGGTTTTTTTTCTCTTTATCTTGCTATTTCTAATTTCATGTTGTTCGCTCTTGTTTCTGGCATCATTAGATTTATTCTCATTACATGGCCAAACCATTTTATTCTTTGCTTGCTTTTCAATGAATTTAGTTATAGGTTTTGTTCAGATAGCTCTTGTAATTTCTTCATGTCTCACAATGACCTTTTCTAGTGCTGGTGATATTGATCGGAAATCCAACATTGCGTTTCCTTTTCTTAGATGCCAGATTTTGGCAGTCTGCACAATCTAGCTCACAGTGGACCGCATGATGCAGCCAATCACAGCAAAGATGTTATCTCTAGAGGTCATCGCCACAGTTCCCATACAGATAATGTTGATGGTGCCTCTAACTTCCCTAACGACTGCAGTAACATGGAAGGTGCTCTGGCTGCTCTGCCTGGTCCTGGGAAGTTGAAACAGCTGACCAAGCAGAGGGCAGCAGATGATGCAGACAGTGGCTTCATTGGGTCAATGGTAGGGTCTGGGGTCGGACTGGATCCTGGACAGCTGCAGCAACAAAGACAGCAGATGCAACAGCAACAACAATCACCGCAACAGCCTGAAGAGAGGATGAGGTTGAGGCTCACTAAAGCAGTTGATGAAAGGTGATGAGAATGTTGACAGCTCATGTTTGTGCTGTTTCTTTTGTTGTCATTGTTGTTGTTGTTGTTGTTGTTGAAGACGAATAATTAATAAATACAGACTGACAATGTCAACTTATGGCTCAGCTCCTGCAAGTGAGTACAAGTAAAAACTTTGAGGTCATGCATGGTTCTGATAGCCACTTAAGGATGTGAGTTATGGTCTCTTACGCTGTCAGAGAAGAAATAAAGCAGAGCTATTGAACTGAAAGATTACAGAAACATTAGTGGAATACCAAATCCAATACAAATATAAAAACAGACATCCTACATGATCTGATCATTGAGGAGAATTAGCTCTTAAACAACTTCCTGTACCGAAAGTTGAGCTGTTTCATCTATGTCAAATGTCATGGTGGCCTGGAGAGAAAGAGAGAGAGAGCGGTGATGGAGGCTACAGTTTCTAGAAAACGACGCAGAGGATGATCTCTGCGAAAGTGGATACAAGACGTTAGAGATGCACTGGCTGTGAAAGCACATAGGGCTGGAGAATTATCTACACAAAGTGATGAGAGTGATGTTCTGCAAAGGACTTGCTGACTGATGATGATGGAAGATACCCTGAATGTATGTGTAACAAAGAGTAAATGTGTACAATCAGGTGCTACTGAAACAATCAAAATCCAGATCTTAAGACATTTGATGTAGGAGACAGAGCATCTGTGGGTGTGCCCTGAGTGCTTTCTTTTAACTCTTACATCAGTGAACAGTAACAGTTGATGTTGCTGTTATTTGTGGAGTTGTAGTTGATACATCAATATGTAGTCTCTTGTCATTTAGAAAACGCTATGCAGTGATAAATAAACGTACATATTATGAGCTGAAATTTGTTTCCAAATGTTAAAGAGTACCCTGTTCTCACCAACTGCATATGATGCTAGATTCATATTTATATGTGGACAGCATCGTGCCCACAGCCTGTACTTCCCAGGGCATTTAAAACTGGGTCGACCTTGGAACCAGTTTTTTTTTTTCTTTCAAGACCTGTCGGTGCAGATTCAAACCCAAGATCTTTGGCTTGCAGGTGACCAAGATTTTATTTATACTGGTGTCCGTTCCCAAAACAATTTGATAATATCATCAGTTCATTTTAAATCCAAATTTAAAAAATTTATTTCAAAATGACTAAACTGGCCAGATTTCCAACCATTTCTTTCATTGAGAGAATGAGAAAAAACACTAAATGTCATTTTTGCTACAGTTCTGCATTAACCGACCAGTCAATGGATACCTCAACACAGCAAGAGGACAGGCCAAAGAAGAGGACTGAATCTGAAAGACCTAACAGGCAGAATGAATTTAAAAATAGGCAAGGTCAGTGAGTAATTGTGAAGGCTTACTGAGAACTGACAGGAAAGAACAGGAAAGAAAAAGATTGAGCAAATGTCTGAATGTCAGTTTTTGTGGAAAAAAAAGGGAGGGGGGGGGGGGGGGGGGGTGTGAGTGTATGAAAAAGTGTTTGTGTATGTGTATGTATGGGGATGTATGAGTATATGGGGGGTGGCTGTGACAGAATCAGTGTTTGATTTGATTAGATGCTTGTGTATATATGGATGATTGTGTATGATTATGTTTTTGTGTATGTGTGAGATTGTGTGGGCATGTATGGGTGTTTGTGTGTGTATGATAAGGTGCTTGTGTGTATATGTAGTTGTTCATGTACGTATAAGTGCATATATGTATTAGTGTTTTAGGTTTGTATGAATGTCAGTGTAAGTATGTATATTAATTCATTCAGGGTGGGTATGTGCGGATGTGTATGTATGAAATGCATTTGTGTGCATGAGTGTATATATGTGGATATAAGTGTGTGGGTGTTTGTGTGAATGTATATCTGTGTATGCATGCATGAGAGTGCATGTGTGTGTGGATGTGTTTTTGTGTTTGTATGGGTGCATGTGTTTAGTTTATATAATGGATCAACATCATGGCACAAGGTAGTAACCCATACGTAGTCCATTCTACTTCTAACTCAAGAAAAGATACAAAACTGAATGAAAAATATATCAGCAAGCTTTACAATAAAATAAACGTAAACAAAACATTATGAAGCCTTCGTCAGCACATACATAAATGAAACAATACCACACAAATACGCAAAATCACTTCATTAGTATCTCAAAGCAGCCAGGTCAATGTCTTGCCAGTAGACTGATGAGAAACGTGGGACACGATAATAAATACCCCTGGGGAATGCTAGAAGCTGTAACTGGAAGGTTTGAGATAAAACTGTTTGGGCATTACAATCCCCTAGGATTTTAGATGAAACTATGTTGGCAGTTCAGTTCTTTAGGTGTTAAAGTTCCCAAAGTATAAATAAAGTGATTTTCAAGAGACGTGCAGACTCTGTCGCTGGTGTGGCTAAATTTAATGGCTGTCACCTCTGTGCCTCAAGATCACTGTCGGGTGCATGTGTGTATAAAGGTAATTGTACATGTGGATGTGTGTGTATATATATATATGAGTTTGAGAATATGAATGAGTGTGTGTGTAAGTATGTATGTATATATGTATGTATGCATATGTATGGGTGTGTCTTTGATTGTATGGATACATAACAGTGCATGTGTATGTGTATGTTCAGGTTTATTTCATTATGTATATTTTTATATAAGCAAAACATGCATTATTGATAAAATGAAAGATGAGTGCTTGGAAGGGCTGAATGAGGGATGGGCCTGTGTGCCCAATTTGCAACCCTTTGAAAATAAAGTTTGTTCATTCCTGAGAAAAGTCAGAAAATCATGAGACCAGCTTGATGAGACTGGGTTCACCCCAAGCCAAACTGATCAGAGGAAACAAATTTATCCTGCCCTGCTGGGTATTGAACAACTGGCAGAGATGAACACTTACCACTGTACCACCATAGGTCCTTTTACAAGTGCTAAATAATTATTCTTAACTAACTATTTTTAAACTTTGAGATTCTCCACCTTCACTTTGACCTATTATTTATGTAAACTGCTTCCTGTCTCGTGCCAGACCACAGCTCAGAGACTCAGTCAGAGGACAGTTACTATGTGGAGGACAGTCTGACAGGAAACATTAGTTTTACCAAGTCAAAAGCTGTCAAAGATGAATGTCTAACTGGAGCACGGTCGAAGGAAGAAAATAGCAAAGAATTCTATGATGCCACTTTGGAGGACAGCTACAGTGCAGGTTTGTATTCATAAATCTGGTGTCCCAACAGTCTTTGTGTGCTTGTCATATTGTGTTATTTATCCTTTCTTGCCAATATTGTGCATCTTTGTGGATTTGTTCATAAGTCGATGTCTGTTGCTTAGACTTGATTCAGCTCTCTCTGCAGGCAGTTTGGCAGCGGACTGCTTTCTGTTGATTTCAATAATGATATTGTGAGCTGACCATTCAGAGAGCAATGTCAAACTACTGAACATAAAACTAGCTACTAAAACAAAACAGCCAAAACTGTTGGGATTGGTTCTGTAATGATCTGTAAAGGATACACAACTTTTAACTTTACAAACTGTTTGCAAACAATTGCTTGTTACATTCTTTGGCAGGGAGTATATATATATTTATTGGTTACTCTGTTAATCTTACAGATGGGTAGAAGATGTAGAGGTCCAACTCTGCTATGTTAAAGATGTGTGCAAATGGGACATGAATGATACATGTATTTGTCAACAAAATGCAATGGAATGTGTTGCATGGAAGGGGCAAATCACCAAGGGAATGGGAATAAAGGAAGAAATGATTGCAGAAAGGATGAGAGCTGAGCGTCTGAGAAGAAACAGACTAAATATAAAAGATGGCGGCAGTAGTTCCATGCTATAATTATAAAGACTTTTCTCAACGTGGGCAGGTCTTACTAGTCACACTCGCCATTGCCATGGGCTGTGAGTCCTATGCTTCTTCCAAGCACAATATAACACATCCTGTTTACACAATCATACCCACTCTGAATGTACACATCCACCCTTATATGTCCATACGAACACAGACACACCCATCCATATGCATACCTCTTCTAAGCACAATAAAACACTATCGTCTGGAAAGACGGAAAGGTGCCAACAACAACTACTATGTTCATGGTTAACATTTCTCTGTATCTTGTGTAGCATTCTTATTTTATGTTAATGTCCCCAAACCAAAGGCTGCTTTAACAGACTCAATCAGATGCTGTAGATTTTAGCTTTGATAGACCTACTCTAAAGTACAAAGATTGATAGACCTACTCTAAAGTACAAAGATTGATAGACCTACTCTAAAGTACAAAGATTGATAGACCTACTCTGAAGTACAAAGATTGATAGACCTACTCTAAGGTACAAAGATTGATAGACCTACTCTAAAGTACAAAGATTGGAATAAATTGCACAGTAGTGGCAATTACATTAGGCTTCAGCAGGGCATGACCAATTGTGTCAGTCCTAGAAAGTTTTCCAGCTGAACTCAGGTAGACAAAACCTGTCATGAAACTAAGATCTGTTTACTGCTTTCAGAGTTGCAGCATATTTTGTGTTGCATATTAAAATATTGTGCCAGAATTTTTTTTTTCAATTGTAATTAACTCTATGAGTCCCAAAGAACACATCATACGTTCACATGTTCCTACCTAGAAGCCCAATGAACACAAGATGCACCGATTTTATGACTCTCTTTACTACCCCCTGGGCCTGTGATGCTGAACCCCCGGGGACTCAAAGAGTTAAAAATCAGTTACATAACAACACACAATACATTGCTTGACACACATGGACAAGATCACATGATGTGGGACTTCTGGCAGAAGACGTGAAAGAACTGTATGAACTGCCAATCCAGAAAGCGCTCAGTACATGTGAAGTTGATCTTAGATTGACCAAGCTACGCTATAACAATTCTATAGTCCAGAAGTGGACATATAATTAGAACTTTCCACCGCAATAATGACTGTGAGGAAGGAGAAGAAACTTTAAGGAGTAACCAGCAAAAATACAATGAGTTGCTTGGTTCTGAAAGAGTTAATAAATGGAAACTTTATGAACACTTGATGTTGAATTAGGGTTCGCAGACAGTTTTATGAACAACGATGTTGAATGAAAGTTAACACTTTAATGAAAAATGATGTCGAATTCAATTTGACAGTTTAGTGAAAAACTGGATGTCAATGACACTTTAGAGTTCCAAGAAAAACTGTATTTCTTACTTTTGGAAATGTAGTTAAAACATGATTTTGACATATTTAGCTTCTGATGTCTCCACTCCGAGAGCAGTTAACCAGTCACATTCTGAGACAGCTGTCAAAGAGACGGTAAGATCTCGTGAACAATCAGAGGGTCAGAAAACACCGGTCAAACAGCGGAAAGTTTCTGCTGATGGTCAGACTATCAGTGACACTGACAGTGTTCTGGATAGCCTAGATACAAGCAGGTCAGTTCAGAGATCAGTTTTGTTCCATGTGTCAGTTCAGAGATCAGTTTTGTTCCATGTGTCAGTTCAGAGATCAGTTTTGTTCCATGTGTCAGTTCAGAGATCAGTTTTGTTCCATGTGTCAGTTCAGAGATCAGTTTTGTTCCATGTGTCAGTTCAGAGATCAGTTTTGTTCCATGTGTCAGTTAAGAGATCAGTTTTGTTCCATGTGTCAGTTCAGAGATCAGTTTTGTTCCATGTGTCAGTTGAGAGATCAGTTTTGTTCCATGTGTCAGTTGAGAGATCAGTTTTGTTCCATGTGTCAGTTGAGAGATCAGTTTTGTTCCATGTGTCAGTTGAGAGATCAGTTTTGTTCCATGTGTCAGTTCAGAGATCAGTTTTGTTCCATGTGTCATTTGAGAGATCAGTTTTGTTCCATGTGTCAGTTGAGAGATCAGTTTTGTTCCATGTGTCAGTTGAGAGATCAGTTTTGTTCCATGTGTCAGTTGAGAGATCAGTTTTGTTCCATGTGTCAGTTGAGAGATCAGTTTTGTTCCATGTGTCAGTTCAGAGATCAGTTTTGTTCCATGTGTCAGTTGAGAGATCAGTTTTGTTCCATGTGTCAGTTCAGAGATCAGTTTTGTTCCATGTGTCAGTTGAGAGATCAGTTTTGTTCCATGTGTCAGTTCAGAGATCAGTTTTGTTCCATGTGTCAGTTCAGAGATCAGTTTTGTTCCATGTGTCAGTTCAGAGATCAGTTTTGTTCCATGTGTCAGTTGAGAGATCAGTTTTGTTCCATGTGTCAGTTGAGAGATCAGTTTTGTTCCATGTGTCAGTTGAGAGATCAGTTTTGTTCCATGTGTCAGTTGAGAGATCAGTTTTGTTCCATGTGTCAGTTGAGAGATCAGTTTTGTTCCATGTGTCAGTTGAGAGATCAGTTTTGTTCCATGTGTCAGTTGAGAGATCAGTTTTGTTCCATGTGTCAGTTGAGAGATCAGTTTTGTTCCATGTGTCAGTTCAGAGATCAGTTTTGTTCCATGTGTCAGTTGAGAGATCAGTTTTGTTCCATGTGTCAGTTCAGAGATCAGTTTTGTTCCATGTGTCAGTTGAGAGATCAGTTTTGTTCCATGTGTCAGTTCAGAGATCAGTTTTGTTCCATGTGTCAGTTGAGAGATCAGTTTTGTTCCATGTGTCAGTTGAGAGATCAGTTTTGTTCCATGTGTCAGTTGAGAGATCAGTTTTGTTCCATGTGTCAGTTCAGAGATCAGTTTTGTTCCATGTGTCAGTTCAGAGATCAGTTTTGTTCCATGTGTTTTTATTGTTAATATTTTTTTGTTCTCTCTTTTCTTGAAGGTTTTTTTTTTTTTTAAACACTAGTTATCTGCCATTGGTGTCTAATATTATAATTATTCTTCATGTTTTTTTAATGTAATATTTGTAAATATGAAAATATCCAAGTTTTTTTCCTGGCAGTAAGCAACAGAATGCAGTACCGGCACCTTTTTAAAGTATCATTATTTTACAGTGTCATTTTATTAGACACTTTGTGGTGAGTACCGGCATCTTTTTAAAGTATCATTTTATTACAGTGTCATTTTATTAGACACTTTGTGCTGAGTACCGGCACCTTTTAATCCCATTGAGAAATCATAAAGGTCAACAACATTGTCAAATTGTTAGGACATAAAAGCTGTCGATTAGAGAAAAGAAGTCCCGGCTAGTTAGCGCCCTTTGGATATTTTTGCCGGGTCATGCCGGTGTGTTCGGAAAGGAGCAGGCAGTTAGATTGCCGGTTGTGCACTCCTTGGTGGTGAATTGATGTATGACAAGCTAGACATTGTGAGGGCCCTTTGGGGGCATGTGTTCAGTATAGAGGCACAAATAGATCATTACGGTCTGAGGAGAATGGTGCTGTGAGTAGTTACCAGGGGATCTGGCCAACACTCGGGGGAAAGGCGAGACAAATATACAATCAGACAGTTACTGGTGCCATTGGAACTGAAAATCTTCGCTTGTTGCTAAAGATGGGGACGCAGCGCTTATGTTAGTGTCCCGAGTGCTGTAATGTGAATTCTTAATTCAACATTCAACATAGAGAACAATTGAGTGAATGTTATGTTATCACAGTCGACTTAATTGCACATAGGGCATTCCCTTTAGTGCTTAGTGTTCTTATGCAACAGCCATCCTAGTGTGCCTCAATTGATAGTTCCCATAAGAAAAATTTGGTTATAACGACTCCGATATTGACCTCGAAGATGGTATAAATGTGCTTAACCAGGCCACAGACCTACTCCCAAGTCGCATACAGAAGTTAGCGTCTGAGACTTGTCATTGTCTACCACCAGTCTAATCTGTACTGGGGGACATTTGTCTAGACAAAGTAAACCTGGCATAGCTGAGTGCTACAGACCCAGTGAGCTCTGAGCTAGAGGGGTGTGTAACTAAATGTGACAAACTTCCTTTGAAAATGGATTTGTGAATGATTCCCATGATGCTAATTCACAAATCCAGATCACTCTCAGCTTTTGTGATCATTTAAAAAAAAAATTTTAACGTTTTTTTTGTTTCTTAGGGGAAGGAGGAGTGCCTCAGAGGTTTCACTGGTTTCTGACAGAGCAGGGGAAGCCACCCAGGGGAGACTAAGGTCCCTGCCTTCTCCAGGCCGACCCCCAAGTCGAGGCTCACCAACAACTGACCTCTATCACACCAGGGAGAGAACCTCCAGTGGTCGTGACAGGCGAAAGAAACCAAATCTGACAGAACCTGCTGGAAGGAAAGAACAAGATCAGAGACAGACAAGAGGACGTGTAAGGTTAGTTGCCAGGTCGGCTCAAGAGAATGATGATGGGAAATTTTTAAAAATGATAATACCACCATTCATTGCTATAAATATAGGTGGGTACAAATACTTAACAAATTTCTAAATTGTGAGTTCTGATGAATTTTTTTCTTCTCCTCCTTTGCGACCCCCATCGTCATCCTCATCATCATTATCACCCTTTTCATCATCTTTATTATCCTCTTAATCGCCCTTCTCTTCTGCTCCAAGTACAGAAACTACAGGCTTTGATAATGTGAATCTTTTGCTATGACAACATACATATTTGAATTATTGAAGCAGAACAAACAGAAGAAAACAGAATTTTGAAATTAAATGTTGCAAATAAATTGTGTAAACCATTTATCAAGAAGAAGAAAAAATAACTGATATTAAATAAATTCTAAACATTAAAGAAAACTGGCCCTTAAACTGTATCAAAGTCTACTAAAAATCTTAATGACAAACTGTCATCTCCCACATGTTACAATCATGTACCACATGTTGTGATCATCTGTCTGCCACATGTTGCAGTCATTTACCATATGTTGCAGTCATCTACCACATGTTTCAGTCATCTACCACATGTTGCAGTCATCTACCACATGTTGCAATCATCTACCACATGTTGCAGTCATCTGCCAAACATTTCAGTCATCTACCACATGTTGCAATCATCTACCACAAGTTGCAATCATTTACCACATGTTGCAATCATCTACCACATGTTGGAATCATCTACCACATATTGCAGTCATCTATCACATGTTGCAGTCATCTGTCAAACATTGCAGTCATCTACCACTGTTGCAGCAATCTACCGTGTGTTGAAATTATTTACTACATGTTGCAGTCATCCCCCACATGTTGCAAAGTGTAATGATCATCTTACAGGGAAGATCAGCAACAACAACAACAACCAACACATGAACAGAACAGAAATCAGCATAGAAAACATGCCAGTTTGGCTTCTCTTCTGCCTGATGGGTCATCTCCAGATGCTCAACATTCAGATATTGCCAGGAAGGTCAAGGACTATGAGGAGAGGAGTGCTGGCTCTGATGTGGAGGTGTTTTCCAACCTGACAAGATCTTCCAGTGTTGCCAGGTAAAGATTTGTCAATTTAATATGATATTGCTTTTGTATGATGGATAAACTAAGTAATTTTCCTTGTTTGGTATAGCTGTTGTTGAATACAAAAAACAAAACCTGGTTTGTTAGCATTACTGCAGATTACTGAATACTGATGAGAATAAAAATGAAATGGTTTGCCCACTCAGAGAGAATGCCTTGTGACACCATACCATACAAAGCATACATGGAAAGAGAAGAAGGACGTAGAGCACGAGGTAGACTAAGAACAAGATGGAAGGATAACATCAGAGAAACTCTACAACAGCATGATGTGCCTATGATCGAGGCGGCCAGGAGAGCTAGAAACAGAACCTTTTATCTCCCTCGACACCCACAGCGGTAAAAGAGGAAGTGAAGAAGAAGAAGAAGAGAATAAAATACTGTTGACAAAAATATTGCCAACTCTTAATAAAAAATACAGTAATAATCTACTAGGTAAGCAAAGGCTTCTCATTCTTGACATCAAAAGCTTTAGCGAATTAATCAAATGCTTTATAAAAGTGGGTTCTGTTAACACACTGGTAATCTGAAGTCCTGCTATATATAAAATGTATGGTACAAAAAATGTTCTGTGCTAAATTAAGAGTTCATTTTTTTTTTTTTTTTTCAATCAGCAGCAGCAATAGACTGAAGGCTCTACAGGAGGAGATTGAGAAACTGAAAGAAGGAGTGGCCAGGGCAAACGAAAGAGCCAACCAGCCCCCACTTCCTGCCCAGATCTACCACATGCCAGCACCAGCCGCTGCAGCAGTGTCAGCACAACAGCAGCAGGACCCAGGCTACTTTGACCCCTTCGATGATCCCTATGGGTTCATGCGGATGCCACGGCGGCGAGCAAACTCATTTTCTGGAGGCCGGGAGCGTGAGTGGGATGAGTGGTACTGGACTTTGCCTCAGAATTGCCAGTATGACGGCGGTGATATCCCGCTTGGCTATGCAGCTGCCGATGCTTACGCTGACCTGCCTGTGAGTTCAGCTCAGCAGAGACCCACAAGAGAAAATTTCAAAAATCGGCTGAGGCAGCGACGGGTGACAAATGAAAGGCAGAGGGAAGATGTACAGGTAAATTATTTTTAGTTCCATCTGAAAGAAGTAGCTGGTGATCCTGCACTTGGCTTTGGGGTCTTTCATGCCACATCTTTATTACTGTCCATTTCTTCTTTGCATTGTCTCATTTGGCAATGGTCATCACATATCTTCAGATTTCTGCCAGCCATTTCTGATACATAATTGTATTTTATGCCATGATGCAGAACTCTCCAACATCCTCTTTCTTAGTTACCCTTGCTTTTCTTTCCCCTACGGCTTTCCACTTGTCTTTATCCCTCCAGTATGATGGTAGATAGCCGCGAGTGAGATAAGGGATAGGAAGCTGAGGTAAGATTGTAGAAAGGAAGCTGGGGTAAGACGGTAGAAAGGAAGCTGAGGTAAGATGGTAGATAGGAAGCTGAGGTAAGATGGTAGATAGGAAGCTGAGGTAAGATGGTAGATAGGAAGCTGAGGTAAGATGGTAGAGAGGAAGCTGAGGTAAGATGGTAGATAGAAAGTTAAGGTAAGATGGTAGATAGGAAGCTGAGGTAAGATGGTAGATAGGAAGCTGAGGTAAGATGGTAGATAGGAAGTTGAGGTAAGATGGTAGAAAGGAAGCTGGGGTAAGATGGTAGTTAGGAAGTTGAGGTAAGATGGTAGAAAGGAAGCTGAGGTAAGATGGTAGATAGGAAGTTAAGGTAAGATGGTAGATAGGAAGCTGAGGTAAGATGGTAGAAAGGAAGCTGAGGTAAAATGGTAGATAGGAAGCTGAGGTAAGATGGTAGATAGGAAGTTGAGGTAAGATGGTAGATAGGAAGCTGAGGTAATATGGTAGATAGGAAGTTAAGGTAAGATGGTAGAAGGGAAGCTGAGGTAAGATGGTAGATAGGAAGTTGAGGTAAGATGGTAGAAGGGAAGCTGAGGTAAGATGGTAGATAGGAAGTTGAGGTAAGATGGTAGAAAGGAAGCTGAGGTAAGGTGGTAGATAGGAAGTTGAGGTAAGATGGTAGAAGGGAAGCTGAGGTAAGATGGTAGATAGGAAGCTGAGGTAAGATGGTAGAAGGGAAGCTGAGGTAAGATGGTAGATAGGAAGTTGAGGTAAGATGGTAGAAAGGAAGCTGAGGTAAGATGGTAGAAAGGAAGCTGAGGTAAGGTGGTAGATAGGAAGTTGAGGTAAGATGGTAGAAGGGAAGCTGAGGTAAGATGGTAGATAGGAAGCTGAGGTAAGATGGTAGATAGGAAGCTGAGGTAAGATGGTAGAGAGGAAGCTGAGGTAAGATGGTAGATAGAAAGTTAAGGTAAGATGGTAGATAGGAAGCTGAGGTAAGATGGTAGATAGGAAGCTGAGGTAAGATGGTAGATAGGAAGTTGAGGTAAGATGGTAGAAAGGAAGCTGGGGTAAGATGGTAGTTAGGAAGTTGAGGTAAGATGGTAGAAAGGAAGCTGAGGTAAGATGGTAGATAGGAAGTTAAGGTAAGATGGTAGATAGGAAGCTGAGGTAAGATGGTAGAAAGGAAGCTGAGGTAAAATGGTAGATAGGAAGCTGAGGTAAGATGGTAGATAGGAAGTTGAGGTAAGATGGTAGATAGGAAGCTGAGGTAATATGGTAGATAGGAAGTTAAGGTAAGATGGTAGATAGGAAGTTGAGGTAAGATGGTAGAAGGGAAGCTGAGGTAAGATGGTAGATAGGAAGCTGAGGTAAGATGGTAGAAGGGAAGCTGAGGTAAGATGGTAGATAGGAAGTTGAGGTAAGATGGTAGAAAGGAAGCTGAGGTAAGATGGTAGAAAGGAAGCTGAGGTAAGGTGGTAGATAGGAAGTTGAGGTAAGATGGTAGAAGGGAAGCTGAGGTAAGATGGTAGAAGGGAAGCTGAGGTAAGATGGTAGATAGGAAGCTGAGGTAAGATGGTAGAAGGGAAGCTGAGGTAATATGGTAGATAGGAAGTTGAGGTAAGATGGTAGAAAGGAAGTTGAGGTAAGATGGTAGATAGGAAGTTGAGGTAAGATGGTAGAAAGGAAGTTGAGGTAAGATGGTAGAAAGGAAGCTGAGGTAAGATGGTAGATAGGAAGTTGAGGTAAGATGGTAGAAAGGAAGCTGGGGTAAGGTGCCTGCTGGTCCCATGGTTATGTGCTTGAACCTCCATCGCAGATTATTTGAGTAACCTTGACCTGTGCTCCCAGGTTGACCCAGCCTTAAGTAGAAATGTAAAAAAATCCTTGGAAGTAAAGGCAGGTGCTGTGATATTGACCACATAACACAGAGGGGGCCAGTAAAATATGTGACTTACACCATATACACAAAGGACCTAAATATGTCATGATTCTTGTAAAGTGAAGTATGATGGATAGATATATTCATTTGTCTAAAATAATATTCAATATTTATTTTTGACTTCAATAAAGCCAGGAGAATCTGTCTTAGACACACATGCTGCACACCTCACAGCCCATCAACAGTCACATTTGTCAGCCAATCAGCCACAAGCTGCAGCAGGAGCGGCCAATGAACCAAGAGATGCCATGTTTGAATATTACCTCCCTTCCCGGTTTAATGCTTCAGGAATGAGACAACAGATGGCACCACAGGGACATTTGAGAAGTCCAGGGATGGCAAAGATCAACAGTAGTACAGGGGAAGATGGAGACAACGAAGAGGAGCATGATATTATTGATCGTTCAGGTATGAACTGATTGGCTTTTGATTGCTTACCTCTCTTCGTTATTTTCTTACTGGTAATCTGTTATGTACCTTAGTTGTTTTATATTTAATTCACAAACTTGTTATATCCCATAACTGAATTGTTCTTTTCATTCACAGGCATGTTACATCATATAATTTATTTGTCATGTTTGCTCACAGCAGTGGTAAGGCATGAACAGTTGGCATGCGTAAGCGTTAGCAAGTAAAAATTACAACAGAGAAGGTATCACATGATATTTTCTTCCTCGTTGCTTCACTGTTAAGAATATGAGTGCGCAGCCAGAATTGCCGTATTTGTAACTGGTAGTTTACAAACATTACAATTTCTGCGTGAGTGGCGTAAGCATGCAGCGAGTATTCATTTGGCTATGTGTAAGATATAATCCTAGTTGCCTACATGTACAAATAGTAAAAAGTTAATTGTCTGTCCTTTACAGGATGTTACAGAACCAGTACCCGCATTTTTGTTTCTACCTTAGTTAGTTTGCCATTGCACAGTAAATAGTAAACAGTACTGACAATGGTAATATAGTTTTTCTTTTGCAATATATTGTGTTAGCTGCCATTACAGGTGTTACATGCACACCTGGCGACTGGGTCACACACATGTATTCATTATTTCTTTGTAAGGTATAGCATATGGAGTGTGTTTATCACTTCTCTGTAAGGTATAGTATATGAAGTGTGAATTTGTCACATTTCTGTAAGGTATAGTATATGGAGTGTGTATTAATTGCTTGTCAGTACAGTGTAATATTTAGGATGTGCATGCATTGTTTCTTTACAGAACCTTTATCTGTCCCTTCACAGAGTTTGTCAGTAATACAATGTTAGAGTTGTAGTCAAGTGTGAATATTACACAAGTCATTCAGAAATTATATCTTTATGTTCAGGAAGACATGCCAATTCAAATAATCCGCCTTGGTACCACATCCGGCGCATGCCTCGAACTCTGCCATCTAATTCTGCTCACAGAAGGGCTTTCTTGCAGACTGGTGGTGACAGGCTGAGTCAATCATATGACAATATCAGTCACGTGAAGCCAGCTGAACAACACTTCAGTCAAGGTCAAAGACCACTGGTAAGTCTTCCCTGTGGCAGCACCTTTCTCTCTGTTACAATGTTTTGTAGGGAAGTGTGGGATAGCACAGCTTATGGTGATGGCAAATAGGACAGGTTTTTCTTTCTGGAGACCACTGTATTTAGATTGTGATAGAGTGGAAGTCTGGCATATACATGAGTCACTGGCAACAGGCCTGCTTGTTATTGAGCAGTGCCGGCTGATCAAGAAGTTCACAGTCTGGTGTCTCCAGTTCGTGTTGATTCCAAAGCTTCTCTGGCCGCTGCTCGTGTACGGAGTAAGCACTGCAGTGGAGACTGGAGAAAAAATGAACACAGTCATGAGGAAATAACTTGGAGCACCACCTTGTCTGACCGATGTGGCCTTGTATTGTAAGCAGGCTAAGCTGGTAATCTGTAATCAAAGGATTTAAAGTTTGCAGGATAAGACTCGTGATGATGCTATTTGAGTCTTCAGACCCCACAGTGGCCACTGTCAAGACAGGTATGAAATGGAAGTTCAAAGATGTGACAAAAGCTGCTCAAAAAGCACTGAAATTGAAGGAAGTCATGGGTTGCACACAAACCAATCGACGTGACCTAGGGCAAGGAAAAGTCGCTTGGTGGTCCAAAGCCTTAGCCAAAGAACGCAGAGACATGGTAATAATGATAAGGGACATCAAAAACGAGGCGGGTCCAAAAAACAGCGCAGCAGTCACAGTAAGGCCAGTGGATTGACCTTGAGAGCGGCTTGCTACAAATACTTACATGACCCGACATGTCCTCTATGCAAAGCTAAACAGATGCTCCAGCACGTATTGTCCATTTGCAGGAAAGCCCTAGACCAGGGACAATATTCGTGGCACCACAACAAGAGCCTGAAAGAGTTAGCAGACATTGTGGCCCAAGCTAGAATTAGGGCCAACACAATGAGGGCCAACACGATGAGGGCCAACAGCAGGGGATGTCCGAGGCCTGGCTTCATGACCCAGGTCAGCCAACCTTCTGAGATTGTCTAGGGAGATAATGGGCCCAAACAATTGTCAGTGAGGGACCTTTCTATTGATGACCGGTGGACCCCTGGTGTGCATGCTCCCCCGTAGAGTTCTTTTTATTACTGTGAACCGGACACAATAGATTCTGTACTCATGTGCATATAAAATTCAAGTTTCGGATTCAGAGCTTTGCTCGAGTGGACAGGCACCAAAGAATTCTGAAAATGTGCTGCAGATCTGATCTCTGCATCTGGTGCGGAGATCCGAATGGTTACCATTCTGGTAGTTGCCAAGTTGTATGGATCAGTGAAGGACATGTGGTGCAGAGATCCGGACTGTTACCATTCTGGTAGAAGCCAAGTTGTATGGATCAGTGAAGGACATGTGGTGCAGAGATCTGGACTGTTACCATTCTGGTAGAAGCCAAGTTGTATGGATCAGTGAAGGACATGTGATGCAGAGATCCGAATTGTTACCATTCTGGTAGAAGCCAAGTTGTATGGATCACTTAAGGACAAATGGTGCAGAGATCCGGACTGTTACCATTCTGGTAGAAGCCAAGTTGTATGGATCAGTGAAGGACATCTGGTGCGGAGATCCGAATGGTTACCATTCTGATAGAAGCCAAGTTGTATGGATCAGTGAAGGACATGTGGTGCAGAGATCCGGACTGTTACCATTCTGGTAGAAGCCAAGTTGCATGGATCAGTTAAGGACATGTGTTGCAGAGATTCAAATGGTTACCATTCTGGTAGAAGCCAAGTTGTATGGATCAGTGAAGGACATGTGTTGCACCACAGCCTTCATAGAGGCATTTGGCCAGCTCATCTTAAAACCCCTGGCAAGAAGAAAGAAAAGAGGGTATTACCATTTTTTTTTTTTGGGGAGCATGGCAATCACAGTCCATTGTGATAGCAAGTGTGAAAGTATTACAAATGTTTCTCTTGCCTTTCCAGATGAGTCCAGCTGTGGGAGTGGGTCAGAGAACAGCCACACAGATGTGTCCGATGTGTGGGGGCACTGGAAGCCATAGCCACACAGGGTACCAGCCACAGCTGGGTCGGCCAAACCCCAGAGTTCACCCACCACCCCAGTACTCAACCCTCAGGTATTACACTTTGTTTACACATTATTTGTAGACTGGAAGGATATAGTTTCATCGCCCAGCTTCTGAGTTGAGTGCATGGTGTGACACTGTGAGCTACGTGTGTTTTTCGTTGGCATAGGAGCAGAACAACTATGGGGTGACCCGATTGCTATGAAGCTGAAACTAGGATTACCAGATTACACATTATTTGTTTAGAACCCTAATTTACATATTCCAATTCTTTATTATCATCATCATTATCATAAGTGGCATTGCCTCTCCCAACTCCTTCTGCAGAAGAAGAATAGGAGGAGGTAGATAAGAAAGAGGAAACGATAGGAGAAGGTGGCAATGATAAAGAGAAACAGGAGAAAAATGAAGAGGGAGCAGCTGCGTAGAAGGTAAACCAAATATCGTGAATAATTATTTTTACTGTTTTTGAATCTATATGTTCTTCTTCTTCTTTCTTCTTTTTCATTAAAACGGGCTATCTCTATGAACTCGCATGTCAACTGCAGGTCTTTCATGGTTCACCATAGCTTGCTATGCACACTGTGCTCCTGGGCCCAGGTGTCTTTTCAGAGGTGTAGATAAAGTGGGCAGGTCTGCAGATTGTGTTCAGGTGTTTGTGGTCCTGTCTGACCGGCACAATGTAGGCACTGTAAAGTCTTTATTTGACACATGTGGTAGTTGAGTCTACACTGTCCTGTTCTTAGATGGAAAATTGTTGTGTGTTGCTCTCTGTTGAGTCTGCTGATGGGGTCTTGTATACTGTTGGTTTTTTCTCTCATAATTCTTTGTATTTTCTTTTCATAAATGTTTTGATTCTGGTAAAGACAATTAATGGGTGTTTTGTTTCTTCTTTGTTCCATTTTTTTCAAGTCTTTTCACTAACTCATTTTCTGGTATGCCACCGTGAGCCAAATTCTACTGGAGAGTGATCTTATATTTTTCTAAAAAAAACTGTTTAGCTGGCAGGTTAGCTGTCTCTCCATGTTGTCTCTGTTGTGTGCTGAACTCACTTTGCTGTTCAGTTGTACCAGAGGTCAGAGGCATGATTGCCTACGTTAGTCGTAAAGGTACTAGATGATGATGCTGACAGAGATGAGTGCAAAAAGTCCACGCTACTTTCTTTAGATTGACGTGTTGCATGTGCCTTGATTATAATGGTGCTCTTGTTTATGTTGGCCGTCCTTTACTCTAGTTATAATCACTATCAGCATGAGCCATGCCAAGGAGAGTGGGCGTCGTGATTAGTGGATGGAGGGAATCTAGTGTGTGGGTGTGAGGATAGACATTTATAGATATATTAAAGTATAACACCCCTAGGTACTTGGTCAGCATGCGGTACATCCCCTATTGCACGCATCGGTCTCTTGTACACCTTTGAGTCGCCTGGAGGACTAACATAAATCTGTAAAAAATATGTACTGCAGAAGATTTGTTTTAAATCTAGGGCTCCATTGTAGGGGGAACGCAAATAGACCTTCCGGCTTTCCCCCCCAAAAAAGCATGTCTTATGAATCAGCTAACTAGGAGCTTCCTTCGAAGTCAGAATGCATCTGCCTAAGAGGCAAGGAACCAACAATCTGCATACAAATAAGTCAGATTTGTGAAATGGATGCGCATTCAGCACCCAGGTTCTGGAAAACGACCAAAGTCCTTAGGTGGACAAACAACCAGAACTTTTTGCTGGAGTTTACAGCGGGTGAATGTGAGGAAGAAGATATTTTTATAAAGTTATTGGCAAACATCACACCGGCCGCTTTGACTTCACGGGACCATGCCATGTACTCATATTAGGCTGGGTAGTTCTGAAAGTCAAGATCAGTTTTGAAAAAACAAAAATCCACACCAATGAGGATTTCAACCCAAAACCCTTTGAGCTGGCAGGTGAACATCTAGTCAGTATGCTACCATGGCTCCTTTAGAACAGATTTGATTCTGTTAGTGCATTGTCTTCTCAGTCATGACACACAGATCAGCTTCCAGTGTGCATTACTTGTGGTTCACATTTACCTGGGATTCATTGTCTTACAGAATAAGCAGACGCCAATCTCGCTCACCTTCCCATCAGGCCGCAGGACGATCACATTCTCAGTCACGCTACAGAGTCCGAGAGTACAGTCGCCTCAGTGACTCTGATGAGGAAGAGAGAATCAGTCGAAGGTGGGTCTCGAGAAATGCTTTGACATCTTCTCACATCGAACTACAGAATTTTTTTATTTCAGGGTCACACAGTAATTATCTACTCTTGCTGTACCAGAAAAATTATCTACTCTTGCTGTACCAGAATAATTATCTACTCTTGCTGTACCAGAATAATTATCTACTCTTGCTGTACTAGAATAATTATCTACTCTTGCTGTACCAGAACAATTATCTACCCTATTTGTCATAGAATAGTTATCTTCTCTGTTATCTATTCTTGCTGTAATATGATAGTTATCTACCCCTTTCATCAAAGGATAATTGCCTCTTGCTGTCCTAATGTAGTTATCTACTCCTTTTATCAAAGGATAATTATCTCCTCTTGCTGTCCTAATGTAGTTAGCTACCTCACACATGAATTATAAATGGATAATATAATGTCAGTATTGTTTGATGATTAGCTCAGCTTGGCATCGTTGAGTTCCTTGACTCCAGAGTCTACAACTGAGAAAATCACCATGGTCTTCAGAGGCTATACTCAAAAGTGACACTTTACTACCAAGTGTTGATTACCATGTGTTGATTACCATGTGTTGATTACCATGTGTTGATTACCATGTGTTGATTACCATGTGTTGATTACCATGTGTTGATTACCATGTGATGATTACCATGTGTTGATTACCATGTGATGATTACCATGTGTTCATTACCATGTGTTCATTACCATGTGTTGATTACCATGTGTTGATTACCATGTGATGATTACCATGTGTTGATTACCACGTGATGATTACCATGTGTTGATTACCATGTGATGATTGCCATGTGTTGATTACCATGTGTTGATTACCATGTGTTGATTACCATGTGTTGATTACCATGTGTTGATTACCATGTGTTGATTACCATGTGATGATTGCCATGTGTTGATTACCATGTGTTGATTACCATGTGTTGATTACCATGTGTTGATTACCATGTGCAGGGACTGTAGGGTGTTGATTACCATGTTCAGGGACTGTAGCGTGTTGATTACCATGTTCAGGGACTGTAGGGTGTTGATTACCATGTTCAGGGACTGTAGCGTGTTGATTACCATGTTCAGGGACTGTAGAGTGTTGATTACCATGTTCAGGGACTGTAGCATGTTGATTACCATGTTCAGGGACTGTAGGGTGTTGATTACCATGTTCAGGGACTGTAGCGTGTTGATTACCATGTTCAGGGACTGTAGGGTGTTGATTACCATGTTCAGGGACTGTAGCGTGTTGATTACCATGTTCAGGGACTGTAGGGTGTTGATTACCATGTTCAGGGACTGTAGCGTGTTGATTACCATGTTCAGGGACTGTAGGGTGTTGATTACCAAGTTCAGGGACTGTAGGGTGTTGATTACCATGTTCAGGGACTGTAGGGTGTTGATTACCATGTTCAGGGACTGTAGGGTGTTGATTACCATGTTCAGGGACTGTAGCGTGTTGATTACCATGTTCAGGGACTGTAGGGTGTTGATTACCATGTTCAGGGACTGTAGCGTGTTGATTACCATGTTCAGGGACTGTAGGGTGTTGATTACCATGTTCAGGGACTGTAGCGTGTTGATTACCATGTTCAGGGACTGTAGCGTGTTGATTACCATGTTCAGGGACTGTAGGGTGTTGATTACCATGTGTTGATTACCATGTGTTGATTACCATGTGTTGATTACCTTGTGTTGATTACCATGTGTTGATTACCATGTGCAGGGACTGTAGGGTGTTGATTACCATGTTCAGGGACTGTAGCGGGTTGATAACCATGTTCAGGGACTGTAGAGTGTTGAGTACCATGTTCAGGGACTGTAGCATGTTGATTACCATGTTCAGGGACTGTAGCGTGTTGATTACCATGTGCAGGGACTGTAGGGTGTTGATTACCATGTTCAGGGACTGTATCGTGTTGATTACCATGTGCAGGGACTGTAGCGTGTTGATTACCATGTGCAGGGACTGTAGCGTGTTGATTACCATGTGCAGGGACTGTAGGGTGTTGATTACCATTTTCAGGGACTGTAGCGTGTTGATTACCATGTGCAGGGACTGTAGCGTGTTGATTACCATGTGCAGGGACTGTAGCGTGTTGATTACCATGTGCAGGGACTGTAGGGTGTTGATTACCATGTGCAGGGACTGTAGCGTGTTGATTACCATGTTCAGAGACTGTAGGGTGTTGATTACCATGTTCAGGGACTGTGGCGTGTTGATTACCATGTTCAGGGACTGTGGCGTGTTGATTACCATGTGCAGGAACTGTAGCATGTGGTATGGAGATCAGATACCCTAATCCATCCAGTTTGGACCACATATTACTTGCCAACTACCTGGCTGTCATAAAATCACATGCTATACAGTTGGACAGAGTTTCTACCATTGGCTGTTGTTGGAGTCTCACCTGAATAGTGACTGCTTGCGTCAGAGGTTGTTCATCAAATCATAGGGGGAAATATTTTTTAAAGTTGTGTTCAGGGCTTATCATGGTCATTGTTAACTTTAAGCAGTAGCAGAAAAATAATATAATAAAATAATAAGGAACAACAGAGAAAACAGCAATATTAGGATGCAGCAACAGTAGCAGTAACTGAAGTAAAAGCATCAGCAGTTGATGCAGCAGAAAGAGACTAGCAAAGATAAACAACAATAATAACTGTTATTCCTGTTGATCATATTTCCTCAGAAGCCGCAGTCTGTCCCGGGGCAGATCAAGAACTAGATATCAGGATAAGGAGTCAGGGTAGAGGTCACAAACGGCGCAGTGATTCACTGAGTGATCAGGTAAGGTTTACTTCACAGATCTTGATGTATATCCTTGTTTATGGGGGGGTTTTTTTTTCTGGATCTATTTATGTTAAATTTTTTTTTTTTTTACTGATGAGAGCGTGTACAGACCCAATCATTTCTAACAGCAGAAGCTGACTTGGTTAGGTACTCTGTGAGTAGATGACTCTCTTCCTCATCTTGAAGCCCATTGGGTATATGGTGACACTTCCAAATTTTATAGACTAATCAGCACTCGATGGGTCATCTAACCAGTATCATTCTAACCGCATTTACTTTCCAGAATATTTCCAGGTAGTAATTTAAACATGTTGCTTCTGTTAGCCTACAAATAAGAAGTCAAGGACCCTTTCCCTTCAGGCGTTAGGGCTAGACCTACATGTTATAGATCAGCCGGCACTTGGTGGGTGATTTGGCCCTTTACTTCCCAGGACTTTACCTGGTACCTATTTAAGGCTGGGTCAGCCTGGGAGCTAAAGTTATTTTTGAAAAACATTGCAGCTGTTCAGTTAGTCTATGATCTACATATAGATATTACTTTATTGTTTAAATTATTGTTACAGCTATGGTTAAATACCATTATGTTTTTTCTCCTCTTCCTCAGTCTGGTGATGAGGAAACAGATTTGGACTACAGTCTCAGTCTCTCTATGGATATTTCCCATCTAACGAAGAAAATGCTGGGCAAAGTTAATGGTGAGCTCATGAGAATGAAAGAAAAACGAGAATTTGGATCTTCATTTTGGTGATATGACTTCAGAATTGTGAAAACTCTGGCCACAGACAGTCCAAGGGAAGACTGGAATTGGGTCTTTGAGAGTAACTATGCATTATAATATTGACGAGATTCTTTGGTTCTAACCTCAGTATCAACTTGTAAGCATTTAGATTTGTGCCATATACTCCCAGACTTACGTTGTTCCTGTGTATTCAAGATAATTTAGACTGGACTCTGGACTCATGAGTCCACATGGTATCTTTACGAAAATGAGTGAGACAGGAAGAGATGCAGTGGAAATGAGAAAAATTATGTTAGAGCAGTCGCTGCCAGTTAGATCAGACTTAGTAGACCCTACTTATTTGTTAATGTCTGCCACTGACCCCATACTTTTAATAATCGTATTAAAAATTCCAAAATATATATATATATATGAATCACACCAAAAATATTATGGTCGTATATGTTTAAATATTTTGTTCCTATGTTCCATGCTGTATGGTGTTGGTAGTCATGTCTGTCCACAACCTTCTGTCTCATGTACTTTCAATCAACTCTAATACAGATGATCCTCCATACCATGATGTCAAACTGTCCAGCATTCTCTCTCTCTCTCTCTTTGTCTCCCTCTGCCTCTGTTCCCATGTAAATGATATCACATGGCCCTTACATTCCTTCCACTGACCCCCACCACTTAGAACTGGGAACCACTGAGGCAGAGAAAAAAAACAGACTGGACATTATCTCTTTGTCCTCCGACAAGAAAACCTCCATGTCTTCTATTCACAACAACATGTACAATCACGAAGATCAACACCAACCTGCATCAGTAAATATTTTTCACAGACTGCACCACAAAATCAACTGATGTTCCATCTGTATTTTTGTTTTTCTTTTAGACAAGCCAGAGTGCCCAGTTCTGATCTCTTTGAAAAATAAAGTTTGTTCATTTGTTTGTTCCAACCAACAAACAGATCTCTAATACTTGTCTTCTGTTTGTATGACACATAACACTTTATCTATTCCTTGCTTTATTATTATGTTGTACTTTAAAAGTCTTTTTTCAGGCAGTTGTTATTCTGGAAGTCCAAAGTATTTACCACAATCGTCTCAGCAACGACATCTGTGTTGCCACCAAGTTCTTCCTCATGTGTGTGTTCATAATTAAGTACACATAATTTAACAAATACAAGAAATAATAAATGTACATCTGTGATACACATTACCAAAGAAAATGATGCTCTTCCACAGCAGTTGTTTGAAAATAGTATGTGTGTGTGTATACATATATATATATATATATATATATATATATATATATATATATATATATATATATATATATATATATATATATATATATATATATATATATATATATATATATATATATACCAACATATATGCTGCTAACTGCTCCATTGATAAACACATTCTGTTAATATAACCTATTTGTAAGTATTGATATAGTTGTTAGTGATTAGAAAGGATTATCATCACAGCACTCCGGACAGATCCATAGGTACTCCGATCTCCTCCTCAAAGCTCCACAAGTGTAAAACAACTGATGACGCCTGTTCTGTGTTGGAAACGTCTTATCCCCTTAGTGACATGTTTATTTCTTGCAGCTTCAGGCTGTACGCACCCCCATATCCTGCAGTTAACACCTTATTGTGTATTGTGCTGTGTAATTATTAGGGGACTGCAGAATGTATGTGCTGTATGTACATACCAGCCTGCACATGTAAGTGTGTCATGCACAAGTGTGAGAATGTGGAAACTCATGCATCAGAGGGTAACCTACATTTTTGTATTGAAAATGGAGGTTTTGTTATTATGAAGTTCAGTGCCATCTCCACAGTGGAGGTTGCCTACAGTGTATCACTGTTCTCTTGAGGAATATTATGTGGTGAAGCTCCAGTCTCTTCCAGGGTTCTTATACCATTATTCGAAAACCATGAGAACGGATTTTTACCCCTCCAATGCGGGGAATGAACCTCAGTGCTCCAGGGATGTGAAATTGTTGACCGCATTCACTAGCCCCTAAGCCACGGCGCTGCACGAGGTTTTGTAAATTTTATTTAAAAAAAACGATTGTGTTAAAAATATGTCATTTATTTAAAATATATACACATCCCACTGCTGATTGGTATTTCTCATGTAAAGGGTGGTATTTTCCATGTAAAGGGTGGTATTTTTGGTGTAAAGGTTTATGAAAAAGATGGTATTTTTCATGTAAAGAGTGGTATTTTTTATGTAAAGGGTGGAATTATTATGTAAAGGGTGGTATTCTTCATGTAAAGGACTGTTTATGTACCTAACCAAGTCATTTAAAAAACGAATATGCTATGAACATATGTCACGTATTTCAGATACATACACTTTCCGCTGCTGATTGGTATTTTTCATGTAAAGGACTATTTATGTATATTCTACGTATGCCTCTATTAATCAATATATTTTATATACATTTACATTTGGCAGTCTTTTTCTGCGGCACATACAGACAGGAAAAGAACAGTAACACTGCAGCCTAGAATGCTTGTTGTGAGGATAGTCAGCATAAGATATTTTCTGGCTACTTGATCCCACAGAAAACAGCTGTAGAATCAAAAATACAGCTAAGCATGAACAAGTCTGATGTGAGTTAGTTGAAGACCTATGCTCCACTGGAAGATAAAAGAAGAATTTGAGTCATATTTGTGTTATATATTTCATACAGTTTATATACAAACGCCTCCGTCTGTTGATAAATATTTTACCTACATCTATGCATATTTATACCTCTATTTGTTACATATATTTGTGTACATTTTACACTATCTGAGGTCATTTCTGTCCCCCTGACATTACTACCAGTTTGCATTTTCATTGTCATGAAAACATTCAACTCCTCTTGTGGTTACATAATTTACATTTTGTGTGCACATTTTTAAAAAATAATTCTAGAATCTTTTCTAATAAAATATATGTACTTTTGTTCTCCCCATCCATCCAAGTATCTAAACACACCTTTCCTATAATGATCATCTTTATGCACATCTTTGTTTATGGTTTTTCTTCTCCCTTTACAACCTGTTGACAGCAAAATGTAACTTTTGCTACACTACTCGACAACAACAAACTCATAGCTACTGAAAGAAACTTAATTTTTTTCACAGTTCACAATTGGCATTCAAAATCTTTGTAAGTTAACTCTTTCTGCCCCAACCAACTAATGGCGTGTTATTAGCATTCGCTATTACTCATGTGTTTCACTGAAACACAATGGGTGTTCTAGTTTTTGATCTTTTTGTGCTAAAGTAATATGACTTAATATTTTATTATGCAGCCAAGTGTATGCTGTGTGTTTGAAAGTGATACGTTGACACTTTGATGCTGCGGTTATTGTGCCAGATTGGGTTTCTGCTGTGAAATCATCTGGGACTGAAAGAGTTAATGAGTTCAAAATGTAAACAAGAATACCTTAGGGTTCAACCAATCAGAGGACAGTACTTTGGCATTGGGGTTGTTGATAGTTTTTAGGCATAGGGGAATTTCCCATCAACTAATACAAAATCTGCCATTGGAGTAAATGTTCATTTCTTCCTTTTCTAACAGTACATTTACTGACTGAAAACTGTCATTTTTTATCACCTGCTGGCTGCAAAATTCATTTTTTTTTATTTTAAATTTTCAACTGTTTGATTTTATTACATCAATAAACTGTTAGCCAAATGTATGCACATCTTCACTGACTGGTTTGTATTTGTTACTCTGGACACAGCGGAACGTCGTGGGGGACGGGCCTCGGTGAGCTGGTCTGGGTATCTAGTGGAAAAGAAAGTCTTATCTCTTAAAGTCCATCGTGTCCAAATTGTCTGATGGTGTCTCTCTGCCATCTGCCAACAAAGTCTAACATGTGTCCGATAAACCAACCGTAAGCTTGCCACTTGGTCGTCCAGGTATGCTGACAGTTCTAATTATGCTACCGCAGCGACTATGTAAAAAAAACTTTGAATCTCACAGTACCTGTTGCATAGTCATCATTTCGTCTTGTCCCTGTCCGAGAACATCCGGTAATACGTGCAGCAGAAGCAGATCAAGCCTGAGCTTCATGAACTCAGGTGGGCCCACTCTCTGAAAATGTCTAGGAGCTTGTGGGCTGAAACAATTGTGGACGAGGGATCACTTCTACTGATGATTGGTAGACTCCTGCTGTACGTGCTCCCCTGTGCTATGATTGGTAGACTCCTGCATGCTCCCCTGCGGAGTTTCTTCTTATTCTTACTGTTCTCTCCTGGACTCACTCACATGAAGACTAACCAGCAATCTCAAGAAATACTCGTCTCACATTTCAAGTAACATAGACCTTTTTTTTTACTTGTCATCTAGTGCCTTTATGACTGGCATAGACGATCATGCCTCTGACCTCTGGTACAACTGAACAGCAAAGTGAGTTCAGCACACAACAGCAGCACAGTGTTGGAATGAATATGCTGTTTATAATCTGTTTATTGGCAGCAAAGTGAGTTCAGCACACAACAGCAGCACAATATTGTATGAATATGCTGTTTATAATCTGTTTCTTGGCAGCAAAGTGAGTTCAGCACACAACAGCAGCACAGTGTTGGTATGAATATGCTGTTTATAATCTGTTTCTTGGCAGCAAAGTGAGTTCAGCACACAACAGCAGAACAGTGTTGGTATGAATTTGCTGTTTATAATCTGTTTCTTGGCAGCAAAGTGAGTTCAGCACACAACAGCAGCACAATATTGTATGAATATGCTGTTTATAATCTGTTTCTTGGCAGCAAAGTGAGTTCAGCACACAACAGCAGCACAGTGTTGGTATGAATATGCTGTTTATAATCTGTTTCTTGGCAGCAAAGTGAGTTCAGCACACAACAGCAGCACAATATTGTATGAATATGCTGTTTAAAATCTGTTTCTTGGCAGCAAAGCGAGTTCAGCACACAACAGCAGCACAATATTGTATGAATATGCTGTTTATAATCTGTTTCTTGGCAGCAAAGTGAGATCAGCACACAACAGCAGCACAATATTGTATGAATATGCTGTTTATAATCTGTTTCTTGGCAGCAAAGTGAGATCAGCACACAACAGCAGCACAGTGTTGGTATGAATATGCTGTTTATAATCTGTTTCTTGACGCTCATACTTACTTACGTTTGGATGTCTTAGTAACGGTGTCAGTTGGTATATAAATGCACTGGCTCGTTGGCATCTTGCTTCTATTTCTCGATCTATTCTCCCGTCCTCTGAGAAAATACTTCCTAGATATTTAAATTCTTTAACTTGCTTCAGGCAAGTACCATTCAACCTGATATGTAGCGGACTAGGAATTCTGCTGACCTTCATTACCTCAGTTTTACTCGTATTTCCTTTCATGTTATATCTTCTGCATGTTGAACTTAGCCTGTTCATATGTTCTTGGTGTCTGCTCCCATCATTATAGAACAGGCACTGATCGTCTGCAAATAGTAACTCATTTATTGTGTGTGGATCTAATTCTTCCTCTGGAAAGCAAAGTTCCTCATTTTCTGGGTCGACTCCTTTAAAACTGGCTTCTTTTGATATTCTGTCTATGAAAATATTAAATAAAAGAGGAGAGAGCACACATCCCTGCCTCATCCCTGTATTGATTGTAAACATATCAGATATGCTTTCATCAGGAATTAACCCAGGACAAACACACAGGGCACTGACAAGATGATCTCTCCTGGAACTCTGTCACAATCTTCCCACAAAACAAGGTCTAAACAAAGTCAAGTATTCGGTCTAAACAAAGTCAAGTATTCAGTCTAAACAAAGTCAAGTATTCGGTCTAAACAAAGTCAAGTATTCGGTCTAAACAAAGTCAAGTATTCTCAGCCAAGATTTATTTCTTAGGACAAAAGTAAAGCCACATGGATAGAAAGAAGTTATAATTTGTAACAAGAAAATGAACAGCATTTCTATACAGTCAGATCCAGCAGTTACTTATTCACTTATCATCTTACACACGCATTCACTCACTCACTCAGTCATGTAATGGAGTAGCTTGTAGAGGATAACTTCACTACCCAATGATACTCCCTCAAAAGTGCTCCTGTTTTCTCCACAGATTACACAGGGAGTCCCTCAACACAGTGCACAAACTCCAGAGCACTTAGAATGATCCCAATGAGTGTAGACACCAATGAATATTTTATTGCAGGCAGGTTCTCTAAGGCTAATTATAACCTGGTCAGGCATGCTGAGAAAGGTGGAGACAGTATACTCCATGCTGAGTGGCACGCATGGCTTCAGAGGTCCAGGGTAGTTAGTAGCCTCTGAATACTTTCTCAGGGGCATGCAGGTGTGTTGGGAAACAAACAGGCAGATAGACTGGCTGGTTCTGCACCACTCTGTGGTAAACAGATCTTGACAAGCTAGACGTTGTCAAGGTCCGTTGGGCGCAAGTGAACAGCGCAGAGGCACAATTTAGATTATCACAGTCTGAAGAACAACGGGGAATGACCTGGGGATCTGGCCGACAGGTCACACTTAGAGGAAATGCAAGATGGACACAATCTGCTACTGCTACTTTCATTGCTGGAACTCTTCGCTCCCTACTGAAGATGAGGATGGAGTGCTTTATGGGAATGCCCTGAGTGCTGCGATGCAGTTCTTGAAACTCAAAATTTAACCTGGCCTGGGGGCCATTCAGATTTTTTTTTTTTTTTTCAATTTTAAACTTGTCTATGTGAATACGATCTTGTCAAAGAATATAGGGAACATTTTGCAATCTTGTCAAGGAATAAATGGGACAGACTGCCTATCACCGAATACAAGGGACATCTTGAAAGCTTGTCAATGACTACAAACTTCTATCAGAGCTAAACAACTGTTGAATAACCTTCTGAATATCCTAGGGTGACTCCTCATCAACACTGAGCTCCTGCAGCCGGGCAAATATCCCTGCCTTTGCTGTGTTCCTATTCACTTCACTCTCCTCAATGTCTTCGTCTTCCTCCCCGCTCCTATCAGCATCATCATCTTCATCATCACTCTCATCATCACTGCCCATCTGGTCATCCCTGTCCTGGTTGTTGGAACTGTTTCCGTGGCTACGGCTGCTGAAAAGGTTGATCAACTGGTTGGCTTCAGGGTCTGACATCAGCTTCTCTGAGGAATCATTCAGAACATCATCATCACTAAACCTGTCATGTAATACTGGCCTACAGCTTTAATATCATGTCATGTTGTTAGATACAGTATTCATGATTCAGCTGTTTATACAGTCCTGTTTGTACAGTAATGCTTGTACAGTCATGTTTGTACAGTCCTGTTTGTACAGTCCTGTTTGTACAGAGTCCTGTTTGTACAGAGTCCTGATTGTACAGTCACAGTGTATTGTTAGTACGTGCTTGACAGGTGACCTGCATCTCTGCACGAGTAAATAATGACTGTCCATGTGTGTACTGGGATGACCGATGGAAACTATAGTTTAGCCTGAGACTGTGATAAAGCGTGGCGGAATGGAACGCCTCGCTTCACGGCCTACGACTTCTGCAATGCCTCGCGTGACTTATCAAGATGTAACAAAAACCCACGGAGGAGAGAGATAGGAGTAGCATTGAGGTATTTTGGTAATCAAAGTTAGTTTTGGACTGGCTTTTGTGATACTGCCTATCCTCTGCACACGGCCACTACACGATCCTGGTGGAGTCCAGGACCATACGATAAGAGGGTATCAAGAGCAGTGTGGGTTCAGACCTGGATGTTACCCACAGGAACGGGAAGGTGTGTCAGGGTATTCACATCTCTTGAAGTCAACTGACTTACTGTTATGTGATTTGCATTAAAGATTGTTGCGTGTACTCTGTGAGTGTTCGGTTTAGTGTGTTGTAGGATAGATTGTCTGTAAGAGGCTCGTACAGCGAGTCACATACCATTACAGTAAAACAGAGGTCTGTGGCAATAAAGATGTAAGCTTTTTTTCCCCTATTCCTCAATATAGCATAAGCAACCAGCCAACTCAGCTGCCGTGGTGTAGTAGCTAGATGCTTGCCTGGAGATCCAAAGATTGTGGGTTCAAATCCGCAAGGTTCCAGATTTGTTTCAAGCATGATCTTGGCTCCCAGGTGGACCCAGCCTCAAATGGGTACTAGGTCAAGTCCTGGAAAGTAAAGGTGGCTGACTTGTTGTTGACCACATCACTTATCGGGGGGCTGATGGACCTCTCAAATGAAGAGTCTAGCCCCATATGCTCGATGCACCCACTAGTGTGTAAAGGGACATTTACTTGACCCAGCCAACTCACACCTGGTAGATACTTGACAGACTTTACTTGACCCAGCCAACTCACACCTGGCAGATCCCTGACAGACTTTACTTGACCCAGCCAACTCACACCTGGCAGATCCCTGACAGACTTTACTTGACCCAGCCAACTCACACCTGGCAGATCCCTGACAGACTTTACTTGACCCAGCCAACTCACACCTGGCAGATCCCTGACAGACTTTACTTGACCCAGCCAACTCACACCTGGCAGATCCCTGACAGACTTTACTTGACCCAGCCAACTCACTCACACCTGGCAGATCCTGGTTGTTCATTATGGATTACATTTTGCAGCTGAAGTTGTCCGCAGGATGATGTAACCATTCTTAAACTGACCCTTTTTAGCCGTCCTTGATCTCTTTCTGTACCAACCAAGGCACTCAGTATAACTGGATATTATTTAAGTGTACCAATCAATTGGGGAGCCACCATTGTGTAGCGGCTAGCCAGATTTTTTCTTGTCCTTTACTTTTCATGTTTTACTTTGGCTCCCAGGTGGACCCAGCCTTAAATTGGTACCAGGTTAAGTCATGGAAAGTAAAAGCCTCCGGCATGATGCTGACAACATCACCCTCCAAGTGCCGACTGATCTATAAAATATAGATCTAGCCCTAAGGCGTGGAAAAGGGGTCCTCACCCATCAATAAGTTATATATGTTATTATCATTGATATTCAGTCAAGCAGTCTTCACAAACCCAGGTCAACATATCTGTCAACTACAAGGATTGGTCAACTGGCCCATGTGTCAATAGTCAACCCATGAGTTTAGTTGTCTCTCTCTCTCTCTGTGAACCAAGGAGACACAAATATGTTGACATCCTGCAGGACCTGAATGAACATCAAGGAGAACTGGCTCATCATCAACAGCCTCTTGAACATCAAGGAGAACTGGCTCATCATCAACAGCCTCTTGAACATCAAGGAGAACTGGCTCATCATCAACAGCCTCTTGAACATCAAGGAGAACTGACTCATCATCAACAGCCTCTTGAACATCAAGGAGAACTGACTCATCATCAACAGCCTCTTGAACATCAAGGAGAACTGGCTCATCATCAACAGCCTCTTGAACATCAAGGAGAACTGGCTCATCATCAACAGCCTCTTGAACATCAAGGAGAACTGGCTCATCATCAACAGCCTCTTGAACATCAAGGAGAACTGGCTCATCATCAACAGTCTCTTGAACATCAAGGAGAACTGGCTCATCATCAACAGCCTCTTGAACATCAAGGAGAACTGACTCATCATCAACAGCCTCTTGAACATCAAGGAGAACTGGCTCATCATCAACAGTCTCTTGAACATTAAGGAGAACTGGCTCATCATCAACAGCCTCTTGAACATCAAGGAGAACTGGCTCATCATCAACAGCCTCTTTTGAAGTATTTTCAACATGTCAAGCACCAGTGTGGTCTGGAGAGAATGGTGACGGAGGGTGATGTTTCTGGATAACGACGCCAACTTCTATGAATGTGGAGACAGGACACTGAAGATGCACTGGCAATGAAAGCACACAGGGCTGGAGAACTGGCTCGAGAAAGAGTCTTTCAGGCGTGCAGTGAAGATAATGATGTTCTGCAAAGGTATGCTGGCTGACTGACTGACTGAATACATGGCCAACATATGAACCCAGTGAAGTTTATTAGTTGGGCGAGTCAATGGTGAAGGTATACCACAGTCAACCAGAAAACATCTGACCAGCTCGACTGACGGCAACGAGAAGTCTAAAGCCTGATTTTAGCGCACAATTCTCAGCACAATCTAATAAATACATAACCTATACTTCTAGTTTGAACATGGTTAATTGTGTATCCTTTACAGGACGCTGCAGAACCAACCCCAGCATCCCCTGGCTGTTGTGTGGTTTCTCTAGGCAAATTACCTCCAGTAGTTTAGTTTGAATATACGAGCAATTAAATATCTTTACATTACCCACACCATTAATTATTTATTTTTGTTTAAATAAAGTAGTCAAATGTTACAGAAATACTACTTACCCAACTGGGCCGCATAGTCTGGCGGTCTGAAACATAAACACAGCTGACCTTCAGCAGCAAGTCTGAGAATCTGATTGGCTGCCCTATACGTGTCAGGTCGGCCAGCCCTAGAGGTGGTGAAGCCACACTTTATTGCCCATGCTGGGGAGACAAAGCGAGAGAAATACGGATGAGTTATATAAAACCTCAGATTTCAACAGTTTCTTCTGCTTCTCTTAAATGAATAAACAAAAACAAAGCGCTACTGAACAGCTTCACTGGCCGGTGGATCACAAGGTCGAGTGTTGAGGTCCAGACAGAGCTGGACTTTCTAAATAACCTTGGCTACCAGGCTGACCTTGGCTACCAGGCTGACTTAGCCTTACATGGCTACCAGGCTGACCCAGCCTTACATGGCTACCAGGCTGACCCACCTTACCCAGGCTGACCCAGCCTTACATGGCTCCCAGGCCGACCCAGCCTTACATGGCTCCCAGGCCGACCCAGCCTTACATGGCTCCCAGGCCGACCCAGCCTTACATGGCTCCCAGGCCGACCCAGCCTTACATGGCTCCCAGGCCGACCCAGCCTTACATGGCTACCAGGCTGACCCAGCCTTACATGGCTACCAGGCTGACCCAGCCTTACATGGCTACCAGGCTGACCCAGCCTTACATGGCTACCAGGCTGACCCAGCCTTACATGGCTACCAGGCTGACCCAGCCTTACATGGCTACCAGGCTGACCCAGCCTTTCATGGCCACCAGACAGATCTGGGAAGTAAAGGCGGCCGGTGTGATTGTTGACAACATCAGCCACCAAGTGCCGATTGGTCTATAAAATCTAGATCTAGCCATATATTCTCAGCACGCCTGAAGGTGTGGAAAAAGGTCTTTTACTTTTTGTTGTTGTAAACTAGAGAGCTTTACAACCACAAGACCTCAAAGTCAACATGGGTATTTCAGCTCAACAGCTTTCTTCAGAACAAAAGACAACCAGTAAACAAAGTTTCAAATGTATTCCTACTTTCCCCGTCAAGCTCCCTCTTAGGGTGACCCAGCCCAAAATGGTTACAAGGAAATGTCCTGGGAAGTAGAGGTGACCAGCATGATGCTGACTGAATCACCCATCGAGTGCCCAACAGTCTAAATGTACGGGTTTAGCAAGATGTGCCTGATGTGTTAATCTGCCAAACAGGGCCCCTGACCTTTTACTTCATGCTCTGACACACTGACCCAAACATGAACTTTGAACTATATCCGGGGATATAGATTATAGATTGTCCATGTTGGATTTTTCTCTTCCTCCTCTGTATTAACCCTCAAAAGAGGGTTTGGCACATTGTAGTGTGGTTTACAGCTAGGCTGCATTATCTGCGCCTTTCCGCTCCAGCACATGTGATTTCAGCAAACTCAAAATTAATCATCTGTTACTATCTAATGTTTCTTTTCAACGAGGTCCCTGAACACACACAGGAAGTCAACATTGGACTGGTATTCTCATGTTGATGTCAAGACAATACTGACCTTGGCAAATATCAAATGCTGTCCATTTGTAGTCCTTGAGTTCGTCTGGGGTTTCACAATCAGGGGGAGTTACCTTCAAAAGTTTGGGCAGGTTCAATCGCTGAGCCAAATATCCCACTACAGAATAAGGCTCTTTCACCTGGGCCACCGGGAAAATGCCTGCAATGATCTACACGTGGAACAACACAGGAGAACAAAGTCAGAAAGTAGTCTGCAACTGCCCTGGCACACATAAATCAAAATCTTCTGTGATGCTGCAAGTGTACCTGACATAAACAATCAGAATGCATTCTTGGCCGTATCGGCACAACCTGTCTGGAGAACTAACATACTCAAGCTTACTGCAGTTTTGTTTGAATACTTTCAGGTTAACGTTTAGTGAAGAACATATAGATGATAGAGCAGTAGAGATGGAGGAGGATAAGAAGACAATGGGGAGGAAGCAGAGAAGGAGCACACAAAGATGGTGGGGAGAAGGCACAGAAAAACATGAGGGAAAGAAGAAGAGAAGACGAAAAGAAGAAGAGAATGGGAAGAAAATGATGAAAAAAAAAAAAACTAGAATTAAAAAAATTGTGAGAATTGTGAAAGAAGGCCAGTAGAAGAGGAAGCAGGAGAGGCAGAAGGAGAATGTGAAGGTGGGAGAGCTGACAAAAGAAGAGTAAAAGAGAAAGTTAATGAAGAAAGGACAGAAGCAGTTAAAGTTAGTTGCATATCATTTACAGGACATTGCAGAACCAACCCCAGCATTTTTGGCAGTGTGGTTTTTCCAGGCAAATTTTATGTCCAGTACTTTGCCCTTGCTTTCTGGACGGTCGGCTTCTCGATACCACTGTTGAAACTAACGCAAGGCACAAAGGATCAAACCGGCATCCAGGCATTACGATGCACGTTTGCAACGCCCAAGTCACAGACGCCGACACAGAAGTAGTAGGAGTACAATTAATAGTTGCAGAAAAGGTGGTAGAAGAGGATGAGAAGAGAAAGTGAAGAGGACAAGAGGAGGAAGATGTGGGCAGGACCACAATTTGCATGTGTGAGGAGGAAGAAATCAGAAGACAATCGGTGCAATCAAACTTTACGGGTCGCTGAGTGAATTACAAAAGACAGTGAAGTTCATATTAGAGACAACATTGCATATATAGATAATCTTTTCCAAGCAAATGAAAAGAAGAAGATAAATGAAAGACAGTCGGCATCAAACTGTTCAAGGAAAAAAAAGCCACTAAAAAAAACCACAACCAAGAAACACAAGACTAACCTGTAGAGCCCTTGGGACCATGGAAGGGAAGACCAAGCCGGACAGTCACACAACCTCACAGTCGGGCACAGAAAGATCGTCTGCAAGTGTTTGGTGTGGCCTGGTGTTTTCGACACCGACACAACCTGAAAAAGTTTATTCATTTTTCTTATGCACTAAACAAGCTGGGAAGCACAAATGGTCAGTTTTGTAAAAAAAGATGGTCAGAATCGGATACTGCTGCTAAAACACTTTCAACAGCATATCTAGCAATTAGAGAATATTCTTGTCTTTATTTTCCTTCTGTTCTTTATCACCCAATGGAGCAAGGTGCTTCAAACTATTCAAGCAGCATGTTCTATCTTTCACCACTGCCTGCCGCTCCCTCTAGGTCCTCACAACAACACTATCTCTAATTCTCTCATTAGATCTACCTCTATCTTTTGCCCTGTGGGTTCCAGTTGAAATACATTCAGGTTATTTATATCCTATCCAGCACCAGCATCTTTCCCTCAAGTTGTGCAGAAACGTGTTTAGTTCTCTCTTTCTAAGCTCCACATTAAGTACAGGCATCAATTAATGAATGTTCCATTACAAGGCAGTTTCAAAGAAAACCTTAAAAGTGTAACAGAAACTATAACAAACAGGAAAGGGTTTTGTAATCTGTCAATATTGTTGTTAACTCTTTCAGGCCCATGTATTTTTACAGACTTGGATCACATTAATTAGCCTTTTAAAAATGGCAGAAGGGTGGCGTAAAAAAATCGAAGGCAATTGAGAATGTAATATATTTCTAATCCATACAAAAGTATATATTTTTTTAAGAGAATTGAATGTACATTTGTAATCTGATAATGTTTTTTTTTTTGTTTTATACTGTTTTAGTTAGTAGAAAAAAAAAGAATTCAGCAGGTGTTATGTTTAAAAAGACAACATTTTACCCCAAAAAATCTTCACCTTCCACGGTTCTGCAGACCACACGAGCTAGAGATTATCCACATTTGAGAAAAAAACTTTACAGTTTGTTCAGTTTCCTAACAATTTAAAAGTTATGAGATGTTTCTGGGTTAGTTTTTCTCACGCGAAGCTCTGAACAAAATATCAAAGAAATAAATGGCAGAAAATTGGACCTATATTCCTATACACACAAAATACTGACTTTATAGTTATATACAGACTGTTTATGGTTTGGCCACTTGATGCGAATGCAAACCGACCAACTGCCTCTACGAGCATACAACGAACAGCACTACTGCCCTAGAGCAAGAGGCAGACCGAGAGTACGATGGATAGACAATATATCAGAGATCCTGAGGCAACACGGACTAACAACAACACGTGCAACACACCTGGCCCAGGATAGAAAACTGCGACTCCCCACTACGCTGTGAGGCAATTGTGGACACAAGACAAGACAGACTGTAACTGCAATAATTTCAATACAGCTTAGCCAAGTATGAGTACGGCACTGTCTGAAACAGTCCTTTGGATGCTAATGTGTTTGACTATCACATTGTTTGCAAATGAAGTGAGTCCTCCTGGATTTACTTCACCAGAATGAACAGCTGACTGCTCAGCTGCCACTGATGTAAAATTCACCATTCAAATCACTTTCCGAAAAATTTACATTTGTCATTATTACAATAAGAAAACAACTGATTGAAACAATTCCAGAGCTACAGCCACAAATGGCCTGTGCAAGTGTTCGGAACATGACCACTTGAACAGAAAAAAAAAAAAATGTGCAGTCTGAAAAATGTCACTAACAATGAATCGGATCAATTTGCACCCACCTGTTTGCAAACAAAGACCTGTAGAAACAAATACAGAGTCATTAGCGATTTAATATGTAAGGGACACACGATCAACGCTGACAGTGTTGTTCGGGCAAATCGGAACTTCTCAATCAATTCTCACAGTGTTGCTCTTGCCTTAAAGAGTTGAGAAGGTGCATCATGGTGCAGAGATGATAATGGCAGTTTACAGATGGCCACCCCACTTTTGATATGTACCAAAGAGAAGCAGTATTCTGCTGTCCTTTTTTTTTTTTTTTAAATCTGTGAAGGGGTAAAACCTATAGAAATCTGAACATACTATATCTGAATATACTGATGTAACATAAGTGATCTACCTTCTTTCCAACGAGAGCATTCATCACAGAAGACTTCCCAACATTTGGATATCCTGAAACCAGAAAGGTTAAATGTCAGTCATAGATAGAACGCATAACTTCAAGATGGTGGCATGCAATCTCTGATGTTCATGGCAGACTGGCAAGACTGCTAACCTTCATGTGGTTTATCTGGGTTCAGTCCCAAATGGGACATCTAACTGTCTTGAGGTTGACTAGTCAGACAGAATGGGTGTGTTAAAATGTTTGCAAGGATTCCGGTGCTATCTAGGCCAACAAGTCTACTGGTAAAGGTAAAAAGGTAAAGTCGGGAGAAGTGAACCAGCATCATTGCACACGGTTATAAACCATAAGTGCTCTGTCTCCAGTACAGACAGCTGATAAGAAACTATCCACCTGTCTCGCAGTCCTCATGCAACTCCGTAGCTACAGTGACGTTCCTCCATTTACCCCAGAGTGTTAACTCCGGTACCCATTACCGAGAGGCTAGGTAAACCTTGGGAACCGCCCGGTTTCGAAAACTGATCGTGGGCTGCAGCAAGTTGCAGCTGGATTTAAAAGCAAGTCTCCTATCAACTGCGCTAATGCGGCTGGTGTTTTTGATGAAGTGATGTAAGCAAGATGCTTTGACGTCCAGTCCTTGGCACATAGACATTTGTTTACCACTGCTGACTTCTTGTCCTGTGAGACTAGGAATTCAGTCTTTCCAAACACAGACCAAAAAAAAAAAAAAAAAAAACAGCCTTGTAACCATGTTGCTAACAAAATGAATTCCATCATAAGTTGGTATGATAAAGAGTACGGCAAACCCATCAAAAGTTGGTATGATAAAGAGTACGGCAAACCCATCAAAAGTTGGTATGATAAAGAGTACGGCAATTCCATCATAAGTTGGTATGATAAAGAGTACGGCAATTCCATCATAAGTTGGTATGATAAAGAGTACGGCAATTCCATCATAAGTTGGTATGATAAAGAGTACGGCAAACCCATCATAAGTTGGTATGATCAAGAGTACGGCAAACCCATCACACTTATAAAAATTGTGTTTTTCTCCCTTCTTTGCTATTATTCTAACAATGTCGAGATGAACATTTTTTTTTTCTTTTTTTTAAAGTGAATGTTAAAGAACTGTAAAAGACTTCAAAATAGTTCTCAATGATGGATGTTTTGTCTTTAAGCGGCGCATGGTCTATTGCATACTGTATAATTATCTATCTGAGTCCCAAACAACAAGACGTGCGTGAGGTTTTGTTGCCCAAACATGAACCACACAGTTCATGGTCTGGTATAATGAGTACCACTGAAATCTGGTCCATGCTTTCAAATGCAGCATGGTCTAGGATTCATGAGAAGTGCGTAAGTGCTGCCTCTGTCAAAGTGATGCACTCTTGTTCTTTTCATTGTGTCAAAGTGATGCACTCATGTTCTTTTCATTGTGTCAATGTCATGCACTCTTGTTCTTTTCATTGTGTCAAAGTGATGCACTCATGTTCTTTTCACTGTGTCAAAGTGATGCACTCTTGTTCTTTTCATTGTGTCAAAGTGATGCACTCTTGTTCTTTTCATTGTGTCAAACTGATGCACTCTTGTTCTTTTCATTGTGTCAAAGTGATGCACTCATGTTCTTTTCACTGTGTCAAAGTGATGCACTCTTGTTCTTTTCATTGTGTCAAAGTGATGCACTCTTGTTCTTTTCATTGTGTCAAACTGATGCACTCATGTTCTTTTCATTGTGTCAAAGTGATGCACTCTTGTTCTTTTCATTGTGTCAAACTGATGCACTCATGTTCTTTTCATTGTGTCAAAGTGATGCACTCTTGTTCTTTTCATTGTGTCAAACTGATGCACTTATGTTCTTTTCATTGTGTCAAAGTCATGCACTCATGTTCTTTTTCATCGTGGCTATCATCTCTGCTGGATATCTTCTGTGACTTGGGACTTGGAAACTGCAGCAGGTTGTTTGGTATCATGACGGCCCGTCTGTCCCCTGAGCCAGCATCTGTGACTTAAGCACATGTTCTTAGGCAGGACATCTGTTACCTCAATGAGAGTCTCACTCTTGATCCTCTTGTAGCTTATGGTGCTGATGTGAAATATAAACTGTAGGAGGGCCTTGTCTTCTTTTTCCCTTTATACCTCATTGGAGCAGAGGCCCTCAACCAGCTCAGCCAAGACATCCTATCTTTTGCTATGTCTGTTTGTGTGCTTTATATATGTAGGCTCCCAGGGACTTCATTAGTCCCTCTGTCCATCATTTGCATATCCCTACCAGTCTTAATTATTCAGACTTTCGATCCCTAACCTTGGATGTGCAAGATCCATATTTTTATACCAGGATGAACAATTGAAGTAATTTCCGTCTGTAATCACATATTGGCCATGTCTGTGGCTTGGGTATTGTGATCGTGCTTTGTAATTCTGAGATACCTGATTTGATTCCAGCTGCGGGTGATTTGGCAGCAGGCAGCCCTGCACTGATTCTGACAGGGGCATCAACTGTTGAAAGTTCAGAATCAATTATAAACTACTGAACATAAAATTGCCTTGTAAAACCAAAATAGCAAACAAATGCTGGAGTTGGTTCTGCAACTTCCTGTAAAGGAACTTACTTGGAGCACACGTCAGCCTTTGTTCGGCAGTGTAAGCAAAAATCAATGGTTAGCTAAGAGTGTGAAAGACAAACAGGAGAAACCACGTACCCAGACAGCCAATAGTCACGATACCATCCTTATATTTGACATAGTCTGTCCCATCTGATTCTTCCTGGCTCCTGCTGGTGTTAAAGTCATCTGACTGACTGAATCCAGCAGCAGATTCTGATTGGCTGATCTCTTCAGCTTGTGTTGAGCTGGAATCCAAGGCAATCTTCTTCTCCCATGAAGACAACTCAACTAAATCAGAAAGGAGACAAATAAATCAGAAAGGAGAAAAATCAACTAAATCAGAAAGGAGAAAAATCAACTAAATCAGTAAGGAGACAAATAAATCAGAAAGGAGAAAAATCAACTAAATCAGAAAGGAGAAAAATCAACTAAATCAGAAAGGAGACAAATAAATCAGAAATTAAACAAATAAATCAGAAAGGAGACAAATCTATATCAGAGAAGACAAGTCAACTAAATCAGAGGAGACAAATATGACACAGCTAATCCATAAATACAACTAAGCCCACACCACATTGTTTCCTTCTTCTTCTTCTGCGTTCACACAGTTGGCACATTGTGGTTTTGGTTTACAGCTAGGCTGTGATATCTGCATCTTTTTTCAGTCTAGTACATCAGATTTCAACAGACACCTAATCAGTCACCTTTTGACACCAGGGATGTGGGATGGGGGGTGCAGATATATATGCTGCCCCCCCCCCCCCCCCCCCCCCCAACCAATGGGTCCAGGAAGCCACAATTGGAACTTTTATTTTTTAGCTAGTTTTTTGCTTCTTCTTCCCTTGGCTGAAGAGGGGGCCTGTAACCTTTCCTCCTTTGCTCTGGGCAGAAGAGGTAGCCTGTAACTTTTCCTCCTCTGCTCTGGGCAGAAGAGGTAGCCTGTAACTTTTCCTCCTCTGCTCTGGGCAGAAAAGGTAGCCTGTAACCTTTCCTCCTCTGCTGAGAGGTAGCCTGCAACCTTTCCTCCTCTGCTCTGGGCAGAAAAGGTAGCCTGTAGCATTTTCTTTCCTGCTCTGTGGTGAAGAAGTCATTTATCTAGGCTCTTTAATATAGCAATCTTGTATGGGGTTCAGTAAAACCAGCAAAGAGCCCACTGGCACTCTCAGTAAGGTACAGGTCTGTTTTACCTTTATATGTAGCGGTTTGACCTAACCTTCCCCACAAGCCTGTCCACTTAAATAACACCACACCTGACACTGACCATCATTACCTTTATTCTGTACAATCTCCTTGACGACCTGAAACAACTGTGATGGCCCCACAGGGAGAGCTCGCTTTCCTCTGTATGGTCTTTTGTAAAGAGCTGATGAAAACAAAACAGACAATAAGATGATTTATATCCCACACATACAGAATTTTTCCCAGCAAGTCTTTAGCATTGTCCTTTATAATGAATAAGCCACCTGAGAAGACAAATCCAGAAAACCACGACACTGGTATCCATGAGACGACAAAAGAAGAAGAAGAATGAATAAAGAAACATACGTGATGAATCTTTGGACTCATCTAAGATGTCATCAGTGGAGAAAGGAGAGTGACAAGCAAACACAAAATTCATAATCTGTTTACATCACCACTAATCACCACCACTGGCTTCACGAGGGCTAACAGACTGCGCTCGCTGGAGCATGTAGAAAGAATGGCAGACAACAGACAAAAACTGCATTGAAAAAAAAAAACGGTAATTGGAAGCAGACCAGAAAACAGTGGAGAGATAATTTACATGCACATCTAAAAACACTTGGAGTCACCAATCAGAATGAAAAGGTCAATCACAGAGACAAAGAGAAACATGTGACATCTGCAGCAGAGAACCTCAAGTGTTCAGAATGTTCAAGAAGATCAGTTGCAATATGCATAAGGAATAAGACAGTCACAATTAATAATGAAATTTATCCGGAGTAGCAAAACATGTAACAAATAAAATTTTCAAGAATAACAAAATGTATAATTAATAACAAAATGCTTAATTAAAATGTACAACATGAAAAATTAGTTACAAAATTACCTGCAGTGGGATCAAAATTCACAGGATTATCATCCGGATGGCTAGCCCGGGGATAAGAGGAGAAGAACACTACGTGAATTCCCGGAAATGCGGTCTGTAAATATTGTTTCCATGCCAAAGCCAGGACAGTGGGGACAAAGTCTACCTTGTTGAGGATGATGATGACATTCCTGTGTAGGTCTTTCAGAAGATATGTAATCAGACTAGGGGGTATGTGTACAACCTGCAGGAGGTCAACAAGGTTACCGTCAATTCTATTTCATGTAATATTACATTGACATGTGTAAATTATGAACTACCAGTAGTCAGTTTTTTCTTCTTCTTCTTCTGTGTTCACCCTTGAAAGGGTGGCTGACATGTTGTAGTTTACAGCTAGGCTGTGATATCTGCACCTTTCAGCCAAAGACATGATTTCAGCAAAGGATTAATTGTACGACAAGTTTGTCAGAGGCCTGTACTCCCCCCCCCCCCCCCCCCCCCCCAAAAAAAAAAAAAAAAACATTTTGCCAGTGAGTCTGTACCTTCCCACAAAAATGGGACCTCGGATCCCCTAGGGAACCAGTTATCAAATCTAAAATGTTGTCATGTTAGCTGCTTTAAACTCGGGTATTTCACCAATATGACAGTAAACATACACAACATGATGAGAATATGTACAAATACAGTATTAACTATGGAAGACCATAAAACAAGAATATGTACAAATACAGTATGAACTATGGAAGACCATAGAACAAGAATATGTGCAAATACAGTATGAACTATGGAAGACCATAAAACAAGAATATGTACAAATACAGAATGAACTTTGGAAGACCACAATGGATCATTTGAGACCTAAATCCTTTCATCTCAGTGACCTAGAAAAAACCAAAGCAAATGATTTGTATTTTGGAAAAATATCGTTTAAAAGGAAAAAGACATTTCACACAGGCCACTTAAAAAAACCCGAACAATTCCATTTATGAACGAAAACAATACTAATTTCCACAGAGAATAAGAGGAGCTGTCAGTAAACATGAATACACACACATTTAACTGATTTACCTCTCTCTGCCCAGAACAGAAATGAATACGGTGACTCATACCTGACTTTCTGACCTGGTTGCTGAGTAACCATTGTGGTAATTGAAATGCATGACGAGATAATTTCTACTGAAAAATTATGATCACTAGATGTTATTTTTAGCAAACATAATTATTCAGTCCTGCCAAAGATACCAGTACTGTTAGCCATGCGTGCCGTGAACAAGCCCCTAAAGCAAGTCAGTAAAGTGACATTTAGGGGGGGCTTGGACCTAGCCGGAGATGTTGGTTTTACTGCTACTCAGGGTGATGGGGTTGAACGGGGTTCAAAGATATAGTAATGTAAAACATCAACAAATGTAGGTTAATAAATGGAAGAACATTTGAATCTTCATTACCACATTGATTTCTAACTTCTGTCAATCTGTCTTTAACTCATACATATCTTCACCATATAGCAGTTCTTTTACCCAATCTAGGCCTGTCAGAAAGATATGAACAGTTTCCGATTCCCTGCTTCAGTTATTCTCATGTCTTAAGTATCCTTCTTGTCCTGTGTCTATCTGACTCCTATATTTCACTCATCTCATATATATCAAGGTGAAATATGGAATGATATATCTACAAGCTCAGTCCCCCCCCCCCCCCCCCCCCCCCCCCCGCGAATCAAAATGAAGGTGTACTCTGGAATAAATGTTTAAGTCATAACATACAGTCTCCTAAAAGATGAAACAGTACACAAACTTACTGGGAACCTAATGTCAGCAATAACGAGCAAAATATCCGAGATTTCTAGAACTCTCCACAACTGTCTCCAGGTCTCCAAGTTCAGCTCAAAGTAGCTCAGATCTCGGGCACGAGGCTGATCAAGAATATCTGAGACATACGCCTAACAAGGACAACAAAAACATATATGGTCAGAATTAAAACCATACGTATGTGGCATATATTAAAAACTTTTACCCATTTTACAATACTGGGATGATTAATGCCATACTGGTAGGAATCCCACACACACCTGGCCACTATCTGTGATTGTAACCTTGGTTACTGAGTAATCAAAGGTAGTAAAGATGAAGTCACCATGGTGGTCAGGTAGATAGGACATAATCGTGTGCCTTGCCAATAAGCTAGGCTAATCATGTTTCCCTTATTTTATGTCATCATCACTGTCAGATTAGCTTTGTGTTCTTGTCCTGATTTTGCTAAGTATTTGATTCTGTGTCGTCACTGTGTTTGCTACAAAGTTTGTCATGTTGTCACTATTTTTCACATTTAGCTATGACACAGGGCCCAGGCTGTTATAGTCTCCTTCTCTGGTCATGCAATTAATCCACTGAGGGCTATAAACTGGGATGTCATCTCAAGGTCTCTTAAGTTTCCCCAAAGCTTAGTTGTCAGGTCTACTGAGTGTGGCCACATGTTGCTTCACAGCTCTGCCAAGAGAGGACAGTCTTGCTGAACATGTTCAGGAGTCTGTTCAGCATGAGGACACTGACAGAGAGCTGTTTGGCTCATACCTAATTTATTTCAGTGTTTGTTGAGTCTATAGTGTTACAATCAAGTAGTAACTTCTGAAGTGTTACAATCAAGTAGTAACTTCTGAAGTGTTACAATCAAGTAACTTCTGTAGTGTTACAATCAATTAGTAACTTCTGCAGTGTTACAATCAAGTAACTTCTGCAGTGTTACAATCAAGTAGTAACTTCTGCAGTGTTACAATCAAGTAGTAACTTCTGCAGTGTTACAATCAAGTAGTAACTTCTGCAGTGTTACAATCAAGTAGTAACTTCTGCAGTGTTACAATCAAGTAGTAACTTCTGCAGTGTTACAATCAAGTAGTAACTTCTGCGGTGTTACAATCAAGTAGTAACTTCTGCGGTGTTACAATCAAGAAGTGACTAGAGAGTGAAAGTCTCTGTGGACATACGGCAACAGGTGTCTTACTTCCCATACAACGGTATGACATTTATGAGTCTGGACCCATCCTGAGGGAATTCTGAGCCCAGGACTACAAAACTGGCAAGTAACTGTGCTAGGCACTAGACTATAATTGTTAAGCAACTCAACAAATTGAGAAACAAAAACCAAAACACATGTGGCATACTCTCACAATCCTCTCACCCAGAGAGCTTTACAATAATGGGTCAAGACCCCACTGGAATTCCAGGAAACAAAAATCATTTTTAAAACTTTTTTAATGTTAGACAGGTCAGTAATAAATTCATGCAATATTCATTTAGCTTCACTTTTTTTTTTTTTAGTTCCAAATATAAACAGAAATATGAAGGGAGTGGTCAATAAACAGTCAGTGATCAATAAACAGTCTGTGGTGGACAAGACACATTAGGTTCCCTAAAATCTGGACAAGCCACATTAGGTTCCCCAAAATCTGGGCAAGCCACATTAAGTTCCAAAAAATCTGGACTAGCCACATTAGGTTCCCCAAAATCTGGACAAGCCACATTAGGTTCCCCAAAATCTGGACAAGCCACATCAGGTTTGGCAGCCAGTCAGTACTGACTAAATACACGATTCTTACATCTTCATCAACAACTAGAGCAACAACAACAAGATAACTACCTTAAAGTAGTCCCTCTCCTGTTGCTCTAGCTCCTCCCTGCTGAGTCTGTAGTTCCATGGAGGCCTCTTGGGAAAATCCAACTTGGCATCTGGCGGAAACACATCCTCCACTTTGTATTCTAGATATTTCTGGAGACAAGGTGGGTAGAGTTGAGAAAATGATACACAAAACAATTTACATACTAGGTGGTTTGTAAATATCTACTAATAACACAAGGAAATCCTGTGAAATCTGACTACAAACTAGTCAAAGACCACAGCCTACTACAAACTAGTCAAAGACCACAGCCTACTACAAACTAGTCAAAGACCACAGCCTACTACAAACTAGTCAAAGACCACAGCCTACTACAAACTAGTCAAAGACCACAGCCTACTACAAACTAGTCAAAGACCACAGCCTACTACAAACTAGTCAAAGACCACAGCCTACTACAAACTAGTCAAAGACCACAGCCTACTACAAACTAGTCAAAGACCACAGCCTACTACTAGTCAAAGACTAGTCAAAGTCAAAGACCACAGCCTACTACAAACTAGTCAAAGACCACAGCCTACTACAAACTAGTCAAAGACCACAGTCTACTACAAACCACTAGTCAAAGACCACAGCCTACTACAAACTAGTCAAATACCACAGCCTACTACAAACTAGTCAAAGACCACAGCCTACTACAAACTAGTCAAAGACCACAGTCTACTACAAACTAGTCAAAGACCACAGCCTACTACAAACTAGTCAAAGACCACAGCCTACTACAAACTAGTCAAAGACCACAGCCTACTACAAACTAGTCAAAGACCACAGTCTACTACAAACTAGTCAAAGACCACAGCCTACTACAAACTAGTCAAAGACCACAGCCTACTACAAACTAGTCAAAGACCACAGCCTACTACAAACTAGTCAAAGACCACAGCCTACTACAAACTAGTCAAAGACCACAGCCTACTACAAAACTAGTCAAAGACCACAGCCTACTACAAACTAGTCAAAGACCACAGCCTACTACAAACTAGTCAAAGACCACAGCCTACTACAAACTAGTCAAAGACCACAGTCTACTACAAACTAGTCAAAGACCACAGCCTACTACAAACTAGTCAAAGACCACAGCCTACTACAAACTAGTCAAAGACCACAGCCTACTACAAACTAGTCAAAGACCACAGCCTACTACAAACTAGTCAAAGACCACAGTCTACTACAAACTAGTCAAAGACCACAGCCTACTACAAACTAGTCAAAGACCACAGCCTACTACAAACTAGTCAAAGACCACAGCCTACTACAAACTAGTCAAAGACCACAGCCTACTACAAACTAGTCAAAGACCACAGCCTACTACAAACTAGTCAAAGACCACAGCCTACTACAAACTAGTCAAAGACCACAGCCTACTACAAACTAGTCAAAGACCACAGCCTACTACAAACTAGTCAAAGACCACAGCCTACTACAAACTAGTCAAAGACCACAACCTACTACAAACTAGTCAAAGACCACAGCCTACTACAAACTAGTCAAAGACCACAGCCTACTACAAACTAGTCAAAGACCACAACCTACTACAAACTAGTCAAAGACCACAACCTACTACAAACTAGTCAAAGACCACAGCCTACTACAAACTAGTCAAAGACCACAGCCTACTACAAACTAGTCAAAGACCACAGCCTACTACAAACTAGTCAAAGACCACAGCCTACTACAAACCCACAGATTCTCAATTATCCCCTCTACATGTTGTCTCACCCACTACTGTGTAAAAATTATATTCCGTACTCACAGCTCCTTCGACTGCATAGGTTGTGCTCTAATGATTCTGACTTCTTTGATAAATCATTTGAACTTCTTGATTTCTTCCATGCCCGTTTGTTTATACCTGGAACACATTCTACAAGAGGCTCAGATGGAACACTTTCTACAAGAGGCTTAGATGGAACACATTCTACAAGAGGCTTAGATGGAACACTTTCTACATGAGGCTTAGATGGAACACTTTCTACAAGAGGCTTAGATAGAACACTTTCTACAAGAGGCTTAGATGGAACACTTTCTACAAGAGGCTCAGATGGAACACTTTCTACAAGAGGCTCAGATGGAACACTTTCTACAAGAGGCTTAGATGGAACACTTTCTAAAAGAGGCTTAGATGGAACACTTTCTAGAAGAGGCTCAGATGGAACACTTTCTAGAAGAGGCTCAGATGGAACACTTTCTACAAGAGGCTCAGATGGAACACTTTCTACAAGAGGCTCAGATGGAACATATTCTACAAGAGGCTCAGATGGAACACTTTCTACAAGAGGCTCTGAACAAAGTTTTCACAATAACCAGAATAGATGCTTTCCCCACCAAACGTAATTCCACCAGCAATGGACCCAAACAAAACCCTTATACTAAAAGAACGTGCGATTGATGGAGGGAGGGATGGAAGAATGGATGGATGGGACTAGCAGGATTAAGGACTCACCTTATCGACTGTAGTTAGAGGTTTCATAGCTTCTTTCTTTCTTTTAGCAACCTCCTCATCACTCTCTTTGAAGAAATGCAGTCTGAAACTACAGCCAAAGCAAAAACATGAGAAACACGGCAAAATCATTATCAAATGTAAGCAATGTCAAGGAAATATTCCCATGTCTTGCTACAGACTGAGCACATGGATTATGAACGTACCCTTACATCCTCCTAGTGACCGATACGCTCTCCTTCATGACACTCACAGCTTTCATCGCAGGCTCAGGTTGCAATATGATCAGAGCATTTGACCTGAAAGAGCCAATGCACCTGTGCCCACTGACTCTACTGTCTGGTTTCCAAAACCTAGGTCTTCCTGGACTCCTAACCCTGGGACATCTAGAGATTTTGTTCTATTCAGAAAACTCTGTTCGATAATAATCAATTGAAATTCAAACCTCTTAAGTACTCTAACTTCTTGCCTCAAGAGCTTCAGTCACTCACACGATTGCAATGTCCTGATGATACCGTCATTAGGCCTGCCGATAAGTAAGGGAGACGTGGTAATAGTCTGGAGAAAAGATCTATATGTGCAGGAAGGGGACAGGTAACTCGGTGACACCTCATTCTATGAACCAAAAGACACAGGATGGCATGGTAAAAAACAACAAAATAGTAAAACATACCATCACAATCTTCATCAAGAAAGATCTTCTACTCGCCCAGGCTAGCTTTCTATTTGTCAGGTAAAGCTGTCTGGAAAAGTCCGTCCTCTATCTGCTTCCCAAGATACATAACCTGACAACCCAGGCAAACCGATCGTGTCTGCCTGCGCCTGTCCCACAGAACTTATATCTGGGTTCCTCAACTGGTTATTGCAGTCCCTGGTCGTTGGTCTCCCGGCTGATATCAAAGACACCAACCATGCTATCTCTGGTCTTTCAATCTATCCGATTCACCTCTTCTTCCAGGTACCACATCTTCACCTTAGATGTTTCCTCTCTTTACAGGTTTATTCCACATTCAGATGGACTAAGGGCTTTGCGGTTGTTGTTTTTTAAAGTCAGCCATGCTACAGCCACTGACCCGTTGATACTTCTAGCAGTGTTAGTGCTCACTCTAAACTCTTTCGAGTTTAATGGTCACTATTTCAACCAGACCAGCGGAGTCGCTATCGGCACCAAGGTAGTCTTAGTTTCAGCTTCATAGCAAACAGGTCACCCCATAGTTGCTCCGCTCTTGTGCCAACGGAAAACACACAGAATGTTAATCACAGTCCCTTATGGAAAGATTGACAGACTGCTGTCTCAGCATATCTAGCATACACACGCATTAAAAGCATACAGCAGCCATCCGAAGTGCCAACACAAACAGTCCGACATTAGAAATGCAGTTCTTCGTGGATGGTAGCAGAAGTCACCAACAGATCAGCAGTTGCACACGCGATTACTTTTAATCACACAATGGCACAGCCAATATTGCGACAAACGGCATCGCGTTATTTTCTTAATCTACTATTCATACCAACACGCTGGTCACAGTCGAAAAGCATTCCAACAGTGTCCCGCCATGCACTCAAATCAGAAGCTAGGCGACAAAACTCTATCCTTTCAGTCTACAAATGGGGCAAAAAATGCAATGGCCACCGTCTGGCAGAAGCAATACATATGCCACAGCTCGAAACAGTGGCCATGCCTAGCGCCCATTTTAACCGGAAGTAGTTAGGGTTTATTAACGGTCACCCTAGTGGTGCCCTCGAGCTGGGGAAGGGGCTAGGGACGTAATGCCCATCAGCAAAGTGTCGCCCCTGTACGACCTAACTATCTTCGTTAACAACTGTGCACCCCAAAGCCATGCAGTTCTTTGGCACGAAGGAGACACTTTAAACTTAGGTTCTGGACTACCGACTCTCTACATGCTCATACGCATGTGTTAATAGTGTACAAAAGTTATCATGTTTCTCCCATATACCATTAGCCTTATGTTCCAGCATACATTTATAAATCAAATACTATTGTCATGCATATATGCATACATACACTTAAACAAACTAGTAATAGTTGTGACAACAATTAATAATAATTAACAATTCGCAAGCACTCAGACATCAAAGTTGAAAGGGAAAAGAAGGTACATCTACACATTAAAGGAAAAAGATTTGAGAGAGATAAAGGAGAGGAGGAGGAGAGAGAGATCACCAAATGACTAATTCCTCCAGGAAGAAAATGTTTATCAATGCTTCTGTACAGTAATCCACAAGTATTTGGTGTAGGACATCAAAGGGTCAATGTTTTTATCTCGAGGCCCCGAACAAGGTAAGACCTAGCTATGGCTACCTCTTCATGAGCTACTTCGAGCATCAGATACTTCATGCATATACCAGTAGTCTCTCAAGCTCTACAAGAGGTATACGGATGACTGCATCCGTGTCACCGATATGCCCCTACCTGAACTGCAGGACTTCATCACTTTTTTCTCCAACTTCCATCCCAACATCTGATGCACTTCCAGCATATTACCATCATTGGTGCTTTTTCTGGATCTCACTGTCACCATGGATTCTAAAAGCCTCAGCTCTTCGGTGTACTATAAGCCTACTGATTACCATGCTTTTCTTCTCTACACGTCCTCTCATCCCTCTTCTTGCAAGGACTCCATTCCTTTTTCCCAGCTTCTACACCTCTGCAGACTATGTCAGGAGAATGAGGACTTTATAGACAAGAGCCTAGAAATGGTGGACTTCTTCTGGCTTCGGCGGTATCCTGAACATGTCTTATTTGCTGCCTTTCACCAAGCTCGGTCTAACCATCGTGCTGAGGCCCTTGTTTCCAGGTCTAAATGTCACCACAACAGAGCTATCCTCGTACTTACCTACCACCTTCACTACATCCGTGCCAAATCCATTCTCTTCAGGCATCTTTCTGTCCCTAGGACTGACCCTGCCACCAGCACGATCTTCTCTGAACTTCCTCTAGTAGCCTACAGACATGACCATAACCTCAAGGACATTCTAGTCAAGAGTCAGTTATGACCTGTGTCTGAGTCTCTTGCCACAGACATGTATGCATGACTTGTCCATATGTGGTTTAAGGGACAAGTCTGGAATTCTTGAATGCCACCTTTCACATATATGAAGCATTCTATTGCACAAGCTGCAATGTCATTTACGCAATCAACTGCAAGAGGTGTGGCATGAAAAACATAAGTGAAACGGGTCTACGACTGGCTGACAGGTTAAGACAACAACTTCTGAATGTGCAGAACGGTGCCCTGAAACCAGTACCGTTGTATTTCAACTCCTAGAATCACCAGAGTAACCACGACATGGAGGTAACAGCCATTAAATCTAGCCACTCTAGCGACATAGTCCACATGAAAATCACTTTATTTGTATTTTGAAAACCCTCACACCCAGGGGATTAAACTGTCAACACAGTTTCATCTAAAATTTTGAGTTACAGTCTTTGGCATTCCCCAGCTATATATTCTCAGGTCCTATGTTGTCTCTTCATTCCCCTGGCAAGGCATCAACGTGGCCGCTTAGGGATACGTCAGTTAAGGTGTTCTTGTTTGCGTTCACCGGCTGTAAACCCCGGTGGAAAGACCTGGTTGTTCTTCCATGTCTGGACTTTGGCTTTGTTACAGGACCTGAGTTATGTGTGTGCATCTGTTTTACAGATCTTGTTTATTTTGTATGCAGACTGTTGGATCCTTGCCACTTACGCAGATGCCCTCTAACTTAAAAGGAAGCTCTCAATTAGTCGACACTTACGTGATTTTGTATATTCGTGTGTTTTTATTTGATTTATATATGTGCTGACGAAGGCTCCACAGCTGTAACATTCATATTTTGTCTGTGTTTGTTATATTGTGAAGCTCGCCGAGCTACTTTTCGTTCGGTTTTATATCTTTACTATATTTTTTTTACAGACCAATCGGTATATTCTCATGGTGGCCACCTCCCCGTGTAGGTTATGTGTCCTCACTGTAGGGAACAAGAAGAGACCCACTGCCTGCCCAATAAGCATGCTGCTAGAGTCAACTAATAGAAGGCTTCCTCTGAAGTTGCAATGCATCTGCCTGGGAGGCAAGGAACCTACAGTCTACATACATATAAGCCAGGTCTGTAAGATGGATGTGCACACAACACTCAGGTTCTGGAACAAGACTGAATTCCAGAGATGGATGAACAGCCAGAACTTTCCACAGTTTATAGCCAGTCAAAAAAGCAAAGATCATTAATGGCCACCTTTACTTCTATTAATATTTCCTAGTACCCATAATTTGCTAGGTTGACCTGGGAGCTTGTGTATGATGTTAGCAGGCAAGTATGCTAGCTCCTAAATGACATTTAGCACTGATAAGACAAAATACACATGTCCTCATTACATACAGCATGAAAGAAACAGATCACGGGCTGCACTATAAAATATTGGCTACCTGTTGGCATCCATCTTGCCTGGGTCTCCTTTCCTGGGCTGCTCATGAACTTTGAGGACTTCCAGGTCATGCCCAAACCCTGATCCTGCTGTCTTGCCAGGGTGGTGTGTCTTCAGCTTCTTCTTCTCATCTTCATCACTGTCATCGGCCAGATAGCTGGGGCCATCTGGATGGTTAGATAAACTTGGTTTTTCTACTGCCCATATTAACAAGCAATATAGAATAACTAAACACAAGTTTTCATAACACACAACCCACCCACACAGGACTACAAGTTACTACATAGCCATTTTGTGTTACCCTAATATAGTGGCTCTCAACCTTCCCACTGCTGCGACCTTTAATACAGTTACCTCATGCTGTGGTGACCCTTTAATACAGTTACCTCATGCTGTGGTGACCCTTTAATACAGTTACCTCATGCTGTGGTGACCCTTTAATACAGTTCCCTCATGTTGTGGTGACCCTTTAATACAGTTACCTCATGCTGTGGTGACCCTTTATTACAGTTACCTCATGCTGTGGTGACCCTTTAATACAGTTACCTCATGCTGTGGCGACCCTTTAATAGTTACCTCATGCTGTGGCGACCCTTTAATACAGTTACCTCATGCTGTGGTGACCCTTTAATACAGTTACCTCATGCTGTGGTGACCCTTTAATACAGTTCCCTCATGCTGTGGTGACCCTTTAATACAGTTACCTCATGCTGTGGTGACCCTTTATTACAGTTACCTCATGCTGTGGTGACCCTTTAATACAGTTACCTCATGCTGTGGTGACCCTTTAATACAGTTCCCTCATGTTGTGGTGACCCTTTAATACAGTTACCTCATGCTGTGGTGACCCTTTATTACAGTTACCTCATGCTGTGGTGACCCTTTAATACAGTTACCTCATGCTGTGGCGACCCTTTAATACAGTTACCTCATGCTGTGGTGACCCTTTAATAGTTACCTCACGGTGTGGTGACCCTTTAATACAGTTACCTCGTGCTGTGGCGACCCTTTAATACAGTTACCTCATGCTGTGGCGACCCTTTAATACAGTTACCTCATGCTGTGGCGACCCTTTAATACAGTTACCTCGTGCTGTGGCGACCCTTTAATACAGTTACCTCGTGCTGTGGCAACCCTTTAATACAGTTACCTCATGCTGTGGTGACCCCCAAACAATTATTTTCCTTCATATCTTCAATGAGTAAGTGTTTTCCTATGGTCTTAGGCGACCCCTGTGAAAGGGTCAATCGCCCCCAAAAAAGGGGTTGCGACCGGCAGGTTGAGAACCGCTGTCCAGACACAACTGTGCTATACGGCTACACCGTGTTTCGAGATTTGTATCTGTTTGATTCTCATCCATGCAATGTTATTTCTATAGAACGCAAATCTTGAGGGAAAAAGAAACTTAACTATTTTTAAAACATGAAAAATTAAATTGCAAACAAAAAAAAAAAAAACAAAAGTTTAACTTCTTCTTCTCTTCCACCTTTTACCTCATCGAAGTGTCGGGGGGAGATGTAATGTTCGTTGATGAGCTCTGTCAAGAGCACTATTAAGACTGATGATCGTTTCTGTAAGGCTGTTCAAAATGCCATCACCCATTTTAACTAAACCTAGTATATCAGAATATGATCGAGGAGGTGATGAGTTTGAAAGAAACCCTAAAAGAAACACTGATGAGAGAGGCCAAAGATGTTCAACTGGATTTCCTCCATGATACTGAAACAATTGTAAGGATAGAATGGAATGGAGGAATAGACAGTGAGTCTCTGATGATGTATAATACCAGAAAAGTATGATTATGAAGATGATGATAAAGACCAAGGATGAACTGAACAGTAAATAAAATTCAGCAATACAGAAACGGCAAAATGAGTTGATTCAAGAACTGATATCACAACACTCGTGGCATTCTCATGAGTGTCCCGTCCCATCCTCAGTAAAGACAGTAAAGAGTTCTGATACTAATGGTGCCAGCAGCATTCTGATTAAACGTCCGTCTTGCCTTTCCTCTGAGCCTCTAACATCTTCCAGAACCTCTCGTCACTCCCTGCTGCATCAATCTCACCAGACTGTGGTGATCCATCTGCTCCTCTGACATGTACGTGCTCTCCTACAAGGCACTAACCACGAATGCCTTATTATGCATCAGTATTCCACCAAGTTGTGCAGAGCCAGCCAGTCTGTCTGCCTGTTCATTTCCTAACACACCGGTGTCTCCCGGTGAAAAAATCCAGACAATACTCCTCACCCGTGTCCTCCGCAGCAAGGCATGCCACTCTGCACGAAGCATGCCTGTCCCGCTATTGGCGTCATATTCGGCAGAATTTCAGTGGCGCCACTCCCACAAGCATCAGATTGTCTGCCACTATTTCGACCAAATTTTCACATCTAACCCTACCCCTACCCAACCCTACACGCAATACGCAGCCCTACACGCAACCGTAGGATGATGATAGACACCCTACGCAGCCCTACACCCAAACGTAGGATGATGATAGACACCCTAGGCAGCCCTACACGCAACCGTATGGTGATAGGTAAGTATGTCATTGGATTCGTGACTTTTTTCGCTGCTTGTTTTGAGTGCAGCCAAGGGAGAGAACTCCCACTAAAGCGACCGAAGCCTTCCCGCTTGCGTCCAAATCTGCTAGGAGAGCGCCTAGTTTTATGTATGTTTATTAAATATTTGATTATTTGGCTCTACTGGCAAATCCAGACGAAGAATAAAAAGCCTTGGACGACTTAGTCAGAGTTCTCTCCCTTGGCCGCACTGCAAACAGTGATCGGAAAAGCCACAACGAAACAAACAACACACTTATCATCCTACGGTTGCGTGTAGGGCTGCGTACGGTTGCGCGAGGCATCGTGAAGGGATGCGTGGTCATCATATGGTTGCGTGCAGGGTTGCGTACGGTTGCGTGAGGCATCGTGAATGGTTGAGTAGTCATCATGCGGTTGTTGGGTTAGATTTAGGGGTAGGGTTAGGGTTAGGGGTAGGGTTAGGGTTAGATGTGAAAATTTTGAAGTAAGATTTCGAAATACTGGCCGACAATCAGATGTTTGTGGGAGTGGCGCCACTGAAACTCTGCCAAATATGACGCCAATAGCGTGCGGCTGGTGCCCCCAATCGTTGGCGAATTGTGCGTTTGACCAGCATCCAGAGGCCCTCGATTGTTTGTGTGTGTGTATGGGACTGTGCGCGATTATAGGGAAATCCGGCGTCAAAATTGTCAAATCTAACGCTAAACCTAACCCCTACCGCTAACCCTACTCCCTAACCCCTAACCACGCAAATTTATCGATCATTAAAGCATACAAATCGGCAAAAACCAACAAACAAAACACACCCCAAAAAAAAAACCAGAATTGTCCTGCAGCGTCGAAAAAAAAACCAGATCTGGGGGAAACAACCAAGCATAGGCAGCTCTGATGTCAACGTGACTGTCTTCTTTGTTTCGTTGGCTTTTCCGATCACTGTTGGGAGTGCGGCCAAGGGAGAGAACTCTGACTAAGTCGTCCAAGGCTTTTTATTCTTCGTCGGGATTCGCCAGTATAGCCGATTATTTTTGTGTATACAAATTAAGCGAACCCACTCTGCGGGGCTGCGTTTTCTTGGCACTAAAAACAAAATAAGGTTCTGTATCTAATTGGTGAAAACCATCTTTACAATCTTTCTTATTTCTATACAGACTATACTACAATATACTACGCCTCAAGGAGTGGGTTACTGTATATACAACAATCATAAAAATAATAAAATAAATACATATCCCTTTTAATTACTGGTGACATGTAACAACACATGGTAGGTATAAGTGAAACAGAATATGTTTAAAGTGTGCACGGGAGTATGAAGTACCTTGCTTTCGCACTTTCTTATCTTTGAGCTGTTGTTTCTTCTGTTTACCGCTAAACGGTTTTTTCCTATGCATCTTCCTTCTCTAGTTGTTCAACACTCGCCGCTGTATGAAAACTGTAGGTCAGAGGTCATTTCCGGTGATTAGAGTTACTGTTTTTAAACCTTCGTACATTTATGCTTTTTGATAATTCGCGTTCATTTTAATTTACTTTGTTAATCATTTCTTCTTTTTCTCTTTCTTCTTCTTCTTTTTCTTCTTCGTCTACTAGCTGCTACTCTTTTTCTTTTTTTTATTCTACTTGTATAATTCTTTAATGCAATCATAAATTTTTCCAGATTGTATGGGGATTTTTGAGTTCGTGTATATGCGCGTGTGTGTGCGTGTTTTCAATCCCTGCCAACCAAAGCGACTCCACGACCGATTCCAGGATCTAGTCGGCCGTGGCTAATCCTTATCCGTCCATCTATGCTGCACTGTGTCATAATATTATATTTTGTTTCTGCAGACATGAAATTCCCGTGTAAATCTTACACACTCTGTTGGTTTCTAAGCTTTGCAGACGTATTAAGAGCTTTGCGGCGGGGGAGGGGGGGGGTGATCCCCAAATCAACAGTCAAACAATACTTTGGTACGAGGTCAGGAGGCAGGTCTTAGCACTGCCATCACCCAGTCATAAACGAACTGTGTCCACTCTTCAGTGAAAAAGCAAGACGGGGCAGATTGATTGACTGACTGACTGACTGGCAGAAAAGGCAAGACGGGGCAGATTGATTGACTGACTGGCAGAAAAGGCAAGACGGGGCAGATTGATTGACTGACTGACTGACTGGCAGAAAAAGCAAGACGGGGCAGATTGATTGATTGACTGACTGACTGGCAGAAAAAGGCAAGACGGGGCAGATTGATTGACTGACTGACTGACTGACTGCAGAAAAGGCAAGACGGGGCAGATTGATTGACTGACTGACTGACAGAAAAAGGCAAGACGGGGCAGATTGATTGACTGACTGACTGACGGGCAGATTGACTGGCTGACTGAGAAAAAGCAGATTGACGGGGCAGATTGATTGACTGACTGGCAGAAAAGGCAAGACGGGGCAGATTGATTGACTGACTGGCAGAAAAGGCAAGACGGGGCAGATTGATTGACTGACTGACTGACTGACTGGCAGAAAAAGCAAGACGGGGCAGATTGATTGACTGACTGGCAGAAAAGGCAAGACGGGGCAGATTGATTGACTGACTGACTGGAAAAAAGCAAGACGGGGCAGATTGATTGACTGACTGACTGACTGGCAGAAAAGGCAAGACGGGGCAGATTGATTGACTGACTGACAGAAAAAGCAAGACGGGGCAGATTGATTGACTGACTGACAGAAAAGGCAAGACGGGGCAGATTGATTGACTGACTGGCAGAAAAGCAAGACGGGGCAGATTGATTGACTGACTGACTGACTGGCAGAAAAAGCAAGACGGGGCATTGATTGATTGACTGACTGACTGACTGGCAGAAAAGGCAAGACGGGGCAGATTGACTGACTGACTGACTGACTGACAGAAAAAGCAAGACGGGGCAGATTGATTGACTGACTGACTGACTGGCAGAAAAGGCAAGACGGGGCAGATTGATTGACTGACTGACTGACTGGCAGAAAAAGCAAGACGGGGCAGATTGATTGACTGACTGACTGACAGAAAAAAGCAAGACGGGGCAGATTGATTGACTGACTGACTGCAGAAAAGGCAAGACGGGGCAGATTGATTGACTGACTGGAAAAAGCAAGACGGGGCAGATTGATTGACTGACTGACTGACAGAAAAGGCAAGACGGGGCAGATTGATTGACTGACTGACAGAAAAAGCAAGACGGGGCAGATTGATTGACTGACTGACTGAAAAAGCAAGACGGGGCAGATTGATTGACTCCCTCATTAGAGCACAACCTGCGCAACTAACGGCGTACAGAATTAAGTTTTTGCTTTAAAATTGTGTGTTCACAATGTTCCAGTATGTGGTCCTGTCGGTAATAGAATATGGACTTGGACTGCTTACCATATCAAAGAGTCAGCTGATAAAACTCTAACGCATACAGCACATACAGAATGCAGTTATGCGGGTAATTCTGGGATGCACAGGAGATACCCCGGTAGTATGTATGCCATATATACTTGCACTGCCTACAATTGCAGATAGGCTCAAAGTTCTGCAGGCAAAGTCATAGAGTAGCTGCAGACAAGAAGTACCTCCTGCATGAAGCTCTGAGTAAAGCTAAGGGTCACAGACTAAAAAGAGGACGGTCTTAGATGGCGCAAGCTGAAAACACAATTGGACATGTGTGCAGGCTTGATAAATTTAACGTTCACGTTTTGTTTGTATTGTGAAGTTTGCTAATATACTTTTCGTTCGGTTTTAAATCTTTTCTTGATAAATTTAAGCGAGGAGCTGAGTGGGTCAAGATGTCCGAACAAGTTTCAGACTTGTGCAGGGTTCTAATCACTTTAGATCGTAAGTGCAGAGACGGGTCAGCTGGTGTTGCAGAATCAGAAGTTCAACAACCGATTTATGACAATTCCCGTCTAATTGATGTGGTTATCTATACAGATGGCTCTGTGTTGTGGGGCAGACGAAGTGCACGGGGGTTCATAGCAAAAGCGAATGGACGTCGCATAGTGCAAAGCCTTGCATATGATATCGCAACATCTAGTTTGAGAATATAGGTCGAGGTAGTCTCTGCTGCCTTGAGAATCAGACGTACACACTTTCCTTCCTTGCTTGACAAGAGTGAACTGTCAGGTTTTTACTGTAAAATCTAAAAGTTCACTCCACTTATTTACAATGGTTTGAAAAGATCAAAGGAATTGGCTGGTGTTCAGCACCCTGGGCAACTATGGACTAAATAATATCTATTTTTGCGTCATGGATATTCTAAGACTGCATGTAAATAATCGTTGCGATCTAACATGCAGTTTTTGAGAAAATGGCGTGCAAGTGTGTTCATGAGATGTTGAACGAACTATAGGTATAGCAGCAGAAATTTTAGGCTTCCTAAATTAAATCAGTCACTATTAGGTGTACAATGAGCTTCAGATTAGTTGGCTGTATTGCAAACGAATGGACGTCGAACAGAGGAAGAAACTGATGGTTTAACCCTTTACTGCAGTCTTGTATTTAGTCTTGTACGACTTGAAAAATCTGGAAACTGAGAGGACATAGTTCCACCACGGAAAACCCGCCTTCTATGCATTTTTAGGGGCCCTCGAAGCTGTAAATGCAAATCGTGTGTGCTGAATACTGCCATCATTGTGGAAGCTTGCTGCTACTGTTGTCGAACAACATGTTCAGAATGTCCCACAGACAAGTGTCTGTCAAAGATGTCTTACTCACTAGTGTCTGTCAAAGATGTTCCACAGACTAGTGTCTGTCGAAGATTTTGTTGTTGTTATTGATCCAGCGGCGCATGAGCTTTCGCCCTTTGGCCCAATGCCATGTAGTGGAATTTACATAATTCCACAAGCTGTTCTTTTCCTCCGTACAAGGTGTTCCACCTGTCCATCTGGGAGGGAGTAGCATTCTTCTAGTCTCCTTGAGATTTTGGGCACTCAAAGAGATGTTGGTCAACAGTTTCGTAGGGGTAGTTACATAGCTGGCACTCTGGGGAGTGTTGTGGCTGTATTCTCTTTAGGTGTCCATTTAGTGTGATATGTTGTGTTCTGAGTCTGAAGATGGTGGCCTGGTCCCTCCTTGTGAAATGGTTAATGCTGTCGTTAGGATCAGGGCTAGCCATGTGTCTATAAACCTTTCTTCCAGTATATCCCATGGCCCATCTGTTCAGCCAAGTCTCTTTGTTTATAGCTTTTATAAGAGTTTTTGCTGTCTGTAGGGTTGTCGCTGTAGGTGGTTGTTCTTGTGTTGTTCCTTTCTTTGCCAGTCTGTCATTACCTGGTGTGCCCGAGTGACCTGGAATCCACTGCATCACTATTCTGATGTTGTATGTGTAATGACACTGCTTGGCATGGTCCTCACGATTTCATAGTGGCAAGCAGAAAGTCCGTGCAACAAGGGAAAGATAATGAGCTGATCAGCATCAAGGATTATCTTAGCTATGTCAGTTCTGCAGCGTTCACTGCCCTCCAGAGCTTGAAGAGCAGACATTGAATCGGTGAAGATGACAATATTTTGGACCTTTAAAGGGTAAACATCCATTACAGTCTTTAGGTGGTATACTGCTGTTTCGACTGCAATTATTTCAGCTTCATAATTTGAGCAGAATTCCCCGCATGCATCAAATATCTCTTCAACAGATCCATCAGGGTAACCTATGTAGATTCCGCAACCTGCTTTAATGGTAGCTTTGAATGCAGATCCATCAGTATAAACATGTATCCATTCTTCGGGGTAAGAATCAATGGTCTTTAGTGATGAGTTCATAAGGGTGACTGGATCGGACTGTTTAGTTTCTTCGTCTACCAATTTCAACTGGACTTCTGGAGCTTTAAAGCGAGCATGTGGTGGTAAGTTTCTTGCAACATTCTGAGTGCCCTGACGTCTTTCTGGGAGGTGGTAGTCTGTCACAGATATACACAGACCAGTGTCTGTCAAAGATGTCCGACACACTAGTGTCTGTCCAAGGTTGTCCGACACACTAGTGTCTGTCCCAGGGTGTCCGACACACTAGTGTCTGTCCCAGGTTGTCCGACACACTAGTGTCTGTCCCAGGTTGTCCGACACACTAGTGTCTGTCCAAGGTTGTCCGACACACTAGTGTCTGTCCCAGGGTGTCCGACACACTAGTGTCTGTCCCAGGTTTTCCGACACACTAGTGTCTGTCCCAGGTTGTCCGACACACTAGTGTCTGTCCCAGGTTGTCCGACACACTAGTGTCTGTCCCAGGTTGTCCGACACACTAGTGTCTGTCCCAGGTTGTCCTTTACACTAGTGTCTGTCCCAGGTTGTTCTATTTGAAGGTAAAGAGAGATCTTGGTCCAACAGCACCTCTGCATCCCTGGTCAGTCAACCTATTGGGTGCCGTCTCCACAACGAAGGTTGGCTGCAATATTATGCTCCATCTTTCA